TATAACCTCCCCAGCAGCATCATATTGGGACAGCCATGGTTCAGAGATCATCAAGTTTGCTTTGTAAGTCGACGGAGCAAGAAGTTTCGACTTCGGAGTCAAAACAAAGTGTTCGTTGTGAACCCTTTGGCTCCAGAAGAAGCAGTCAATGACTTGAAGGCGCTACAATGAATCCAGGAGGAGTATCAAAAGGAGCTGCTGGCAAAACCATGGCCGTGGAAGTCCAATTCAGCCAAAACGTCGGGCAGAGAAGGAAGCCTCTGTTCGTCGACGGCAGAGCAACGCAGAGACGAGAAAGGATTGGGCAACGACATGGGGAAGCATTTGAGCAAAACCAATGATTCAGAAGCCTCTGTCGACACCCCAGAATTTAATTGGAAGGAAGGAACAGAATCGATTCAAGCTGAAGCGCTGATTTCAATTCCTTCTGAACACTCCTGTTTTTCGACGATAGAGCAGGGGAAGAGAGAGGTTCAATTGGGGGGAGAGTTCGGCGGCGAGTCGAAGTCACCCACCGGTTCCGACGTGATCCCCACGAACCCAGAAACGTCAGAAGAAGCTTCATTGGAGTTGAACGTCCCCGGAATTGGCGATTCGATCGTCACCAATACGCCCCTGTTCGTGAAGCAAACGACCGACGAAGACCCACTCTTGGGTGGAGCAACCCAGCTCGATTCGAGCCAAAACAACGACACAGAATCGTTCAATGATGTCCATGAAACGTGTAGAAGTCTTCAATTCGCCGCGAAGAAGTCCCGATCGAAAACGCCCAATTCGAAAATTTTTGGCCGAAAATTTGGAGAAGACAATAACGAATCGATTGGAGCATTTTCAAGTGAATCAATCGAGACTAAGGTTCTGGACACGTTTCTGGAGGTCGAAGGAAGTATTAGAGATGGTCAATTCGTCTTGAAGAAGCCATATTCGAAAAAGCCTAATTTTGCAATTGGGTCGCCGGAATCTGGAAATTGGTTCTACGGATTCTGGGAAAAAACTGCCGGATTCTGGGAATTTGAAAATTCCCGACGGCGGGAAACTTTTAAAGGCTGGATTGCGACGAAATTCCAAAATTTGGAACCCCCGCCGGAAAACTCGAACACGCCGGAATCTACAAATTGTTCGCCGGAATATGTAAGTTTGTCAAATTCAATTCTGGGTCAAATTTTCGTCGTTTTCTGGGTGGAATACGAACCTTGGAGTCCAACAAAGCGCCTGGAACAGATTGAATGTGAATTAAAAACTGCCATAGTTATGCCGAAAATTGAGTATGAGCAGCCTACTTTCGATCCACTTTGGGATCAATTCTGTGATGCTTTTGACAAGAGGATAGATCAAGCTTTGAGGGCAAAGCTTTTTGAAGAGGGGGAGCCTGATATGATCCCAAATAGCCAACTGTACACGTCACAATTACTTGACAAAGAAGCTATCAAAGTTGGGAAGAAGAAAGGCAGAATTTGGCTAAGTCAAAATCCGTGTTCAGGGTACATACTTTGGAGGTATGGTTCTCTCTATTGGCTTGGTGGAAATGCATGTTTAAGGGCTTGTTTTACAGAGAAAGTTTCCATGTTTCCAGTGGTATGCTTTCTGGATCTATATGATGTCATTAAGATTGTTTTCCAAGGCCTCAAAGTTGCTACCTCAAAACTGGAAAACAGCCAGAAAATGACTAAGGCAGAAAACTGTTTTGTGAAGCCTACTTTGGAGCTTAATTCGAGGAGTATAGATCTGATTCAAGTCCAAAGGCTTCCACAACATGAAACTAGGTATGTTTATCTACCAAGAGAAGGAATCGGATGAATAATTGGAGTTCGGGAAGGCCTCGAACGAAGGGCGCGAAGTTAGTACGAAAGCTGCCTTTTGACTGTTTTGCTGGCAGCTTACTTGTGCGCCAAGAAAGGAAGTATATGGCCGAATTTTGAGTCCTTTTTAGAGTTTGTTTTTACCATAATTAGTTTCCTTGTTCATGTAGGGTTGTATTAGGGTTTATTGTCTTTAAATACCTTTCCAATTCACGTTGTAAAGCAAGTTTTAGTTGAATGAAAATTGCTCCTTTGTGAGAATTGTGTTCTTTGAGAGTTCTCAAGAATCAAACCCTTGAGTTAGTCGTGTGAGGAATTCCATTGCTAATTCGAGAACCCTTGTGAGGCTTTTCTGTGAGGATTCCAGATTCGTTTTACAAGTTTCTTATCAATCAAGAAATCACCTTGATTGTGGCGAAATTCTACCTATCCGTTTTATCTTTCGTTGAAGAGTTTTGGCTGCGTATTCTGATCAAACAAAGCACCCCCCTGGTGCTTTATCAGTTGTCACCAACCGCTACAGGCGCCACCTACTCAGCATTCGCGAGAAGGTGTACCACGAGCTCGTGCTCGAGTTCTACACTACCTTCGTGCACCCCCCTGGAAGGACGGTGAAGCCATCAAGTTCCGGCTCGGCGGTGAACCACGATCCATGAGCTACCACGAGCTGGCGAACACTCTCGGCCTCAACCTGGTCGATGACAGAGACTACATCACCGAGAGCACCGAGCCAGCGGGGGTGAACTTCGGGACACTGTACTTCAGCCTCACTCGGCCCGGTCAGCTTCCCTTCAAGGCGGGAAAGACGAAGGCCAGCACATTGCAGCTCGACAACCGCATCCTCCATCACATGCTGGCCAAGTCTTACACTCCAGCCTCGGACAGTGCCAGCGCCATCACTAAGAGAGCCATGTACCTTATCCAGTCAATGCGCCAGAGGGATCATCCCCTCCACTTGGGTTTGGTGGTGGCGAGGACCTTCGACAAGAGTGCTTCTGAGCTGAAGAAACTCCACTGCACTCCCCTCATCACCCGCCTAGCAAACTACTTCCAGATACCCCTGCAGGGGTGCACAGAGCATGGAGACTCCAGTGTCTTTGGCCGGTTTACGATCAACAAGATGCACTTGCTTCGAGAACAGCGTGGTGTTATGTGGATCGAGGGGTTTCCTCAACCTCAGATCCCAGAGGCGGTCCAGCCGGAGGCTCCCGAGGGTGCGGCTGATGAGGAGGTCCAGCCGGAGGATGTGGACGATACTGCTGCCGCCCGCCCCACCACCTTCGAGTACGGGGGTGGCAGTTCCTGCTTCCCCTGCCAGGACTACTTCACTCAGCAGTTCGAGCAGCTGCGTCTCCAGAACCAGCAGCTCTATGACTATCAGATGCAGTTTCAGCAGCAGTATTCGGCACATCATGCCGAGTACCAGACACGGATGGCTGCGTATGATGAGCGCCTGGACAGGATGGAGACCCAGCAGGGGATAGCCTTGGCGCGCATCGAGAGGGAGCAGGCGCGAGCTAGGCGCATGCAGGAGGTCCAAGGGCATCTGCTCCAGCTGCTACCGGGCGAGCAGCCAGTCTGGAGGACTCCCTGGGAGGACTCTCCCCTTCCACCTCCACCAGCTGATGACGATGATGCATTCATGAATGACATCGATCTGGACAACCTTGGCGACGAGTAGGCTGTACTTGTCGCCCCTTAGTGTGTGTTTTTATTTATTTATTTAGACTTTTTCTGTTTGCTCCATGTGTTTGGGGAGCTTGAACTGAGTTTGTCGTGTGTTTTGTTTCTTTTATTTTGTGGATTGTTTCTTTTGTGGCCATCTGGGCTAACTCTGAACATGTGCTAGTGTGTTCTTGTCGTTCCCTTAGTGTAGAACTGTCCGTTCGTTCCATATGTCCCCGCTGACTGGTCCGCTTCCAGTCTCCCGCAGCATTTCAATCCGGTAACATCGTTCCCCTTCTCTATCCCTCTGCTCCATTGAGGGCAATGTCGTGCTTAAGGGTGGGGGGGTGCTTTGTATCGGTTGGAATGTATATACGTGTGCTTGGAGCCTAGTCCACTGTCCAAATCTCGAGATTTGAGGGCTCCAAGTACGGCTGTTTGATCATATTGGCACTGTGTTTTGATTGGTGAATTGAATGGTTTTCGGATTAATGCATGACAACTGGATGGTGATTAGGACAACCTATAATGATGACTGAGACGTGCAATAGAGTTGTGTAGGGTTTAGTTTTTCAACTGTTTGCTTACCAACTGTGACTTGGATTGATTACTTGTTCTTGACAGTCTCTTATGCATCTAGTTCAGGGAATCAGAATGAGAGATAGAGCCTATAGGTAGCCATGTGAGATTTGAGCCTGCTCGTTTCTTTCTTGTGCGATAGTTCCCTCTTCTATGATGTGTAGCATTCACGTTGTCATTAGCTAAGATGATGGAGGCATAGGATTAGCCCACGACCAAATTGACTGTCCTAGTGTGTCATACCCCCTAGTCAGCCCCTTTGAGCCGTGTGATTATCCTTTCTTTCGGTCTTCAATGAAAAGTCACCCTTTTGCATCTTTTAGAAGGTTCCACAGAGTGATTTTTACATGTTCTCTGCTATTTCTGCTAAATGTAATGTGAGAGTTGGAGGTAGTTCTTAAAAGTTGGGCAGGTGTTTGAAAATGTGCAGAGGTGGTGGTTCTCTTAAGAAATGAAAAAAAAAATGAAAGAAAACAAAGAAAAAATGAAAGCAAAAGAGAGCTACCACCAAAAATCTGAATAGTGCCCATTAAGTAGTGTTTCTTGGCAGTCTGGCTTAGAAATACTGGTATTTATGTGACCTCCTTCGCTCTTGTGCTCTGAATTTGAGTAATGCAGAATAGCAGAAAGAAAGTACTGGTTTGATTGACTGTGAGTTTGTTGGGTTTGGAATTGTGGAACCTTGTGCTATGAATACTTCCACCACCTAAAAGGCCTTCTCCCCATGTCCAAGACCCTAGCCAGTCATTTGAACCTGTGTCTAAGACCTCCTGATTAGTTAGTGATGACAACCATTTATGCGAACTCTAACATTTAGAGGTTGCCGTCATGGTGAAGAGATGTTAGGAATTGATAGAATAAGTATGCGCATTTTTTGCATCAAATTGTCCTGACCCCACTGGTCGAGAGTGAGCGATTCATTTCCTTGTTCTTTACACTCTTTACCCGGTGAGGACCTAGATGGCTCGGTCTTGATTCTGATGTCTTGAGTTTTATGCATGAGTTGACTGTCTTGAGTGAGTGATTGAGTCAAGTCTATGTTGGTTGATGAACAGAAGGGAGACTCCTCCTTTACTCGATTTTGCTGCACTCGAATGTCTTCTGTGGTGGTTGTCCAGGTTGCTATTGAGGTTGTTCAGGTGTTGATGTTTGAAAACCAGTATGATTCACGTGTTCTGTGCCTATATGATTTGTCCCCAATGTTGGTATGATTGAAATATGTGAGCTGACCTTGTGTCTGACTTGGTTTTCTTGGGGACAAGCAAACGGTTAAGTGTGGGGGAGTTTGATAAGCCGTTAATTGCACATGTTTTTACCCCTATTCTGGAGCCGTTTGAGATGGTAATTCTCGTGTTTTAGGCCGATTTCATGCTAGGTTGTGTTTGTTTATGATATTTCAGGTCCTAGCAAGTGAATGAAGGTTTAGGAGCGAGTTCGGGGTCGATTGGACGAAGATCGGGCGTGAGGCAAGTCAAAAAGGAAGCCACACGGGCACAACCAGAAGCCACACGGCCGTGCAAGTGACCACTTTGGCCGTGTGGGATTGTGCGAGCCTTCACACGGCCTGCCCTGATATTCACACGACCGTGTGAAGTTGCACTTTGGCCGTGTGGAATTCTGCGAGGCTTCACACGGCCAGGTTGGGTGAGCTACACGGCCGTGTGACCCTGGCCGTGTAGGAAGCCTGAAGTGAAATTAATCAGAACGCGGCATTTTGACCTCACACGGGCAACTGGGTATGCCACGCGGCCGTGTGGGCCTGCCCGTGTGAGTCGGGAATTTCTGGGTTTTTACCCAATTTCGGGCTAAAAGTGGGAGAATCGAGTTTTGAGAGCAAAAATAGAGCCCTAGAGAGAGAAAGTAGGAAGAACACATCCTAGAAGCTATCTTGGAGTTGGGTTTCATCAAATCAAGCTTGGAGATCGTCATACGAGTGGAAATCATCATCCCAGAGCAGATTTTCTTCATCTTTATGAGTATGCCTACTCTGTATTTTGTTTTCCTCTCTCTCTCTCTCTCTCTATGGAGTATAACCCTTCTCTCACTTGGGTATGAAGAACCCAAGTTCTATGTGTTAGGGATTTGATTGTAATGACTTGGGATGATATTACTGCTTGCTTTTAATCGAATGATGCATGTTTATTGAGTCAATTGAAGTCTGATCAGCTTTTCCTTATTTCTACTGCAACCTGAGATAGATAGAATCTGATTAGGTTGTTAGAGCCTCATCATTCGGTAGTAGGAGATTGGCTATACGAGAGTTAGCCAGTTTACTACTTTGTACTGGAATTCAATTCCAGTAGTGGAGTTCTGTTCTTACTGCTTCAGCTTTCTATCCCGGTGAAGACTAGTCGTCTTCCGGGTAGTTAGTCTGAGAGGGCTTGGTCAGCTTAAGAGATTCCAAGCTACTGTCGGATCTTCCGCAGTCTAATCAACAATAAATCAACCGAGGGAAATTACAATTGAAACCTAACTAAGGAGCTAGGGGGACTCATTCCCGAGTGACTCGTCTTTGCTTCAGAAAACCGTACCAATTCCTGCTTTCTTTCTGCTTTTGCTTTAAACAACAATCACTTGACTTAGTTGGCTAGATAATAGATAATCACTGAGTAAGCAGTAGATCTAGACCCCGGGTTGATAATAGAACTTGCCACTTTACTGCATTCCCGGTCTGCGATTACACTTGGTCGCAGATTGGTGTTGTGTTTTGGCGTTTCACCGGTCTTTGTGCAACCGAATAAGGGAAGTTGAGGGATATACTCCTTCACTACTGGTTGCGGCTTAGGAGCAAGCACCTCAAACTCCTTTTCCATTTCTTCTTCAACAACCGAAAATGCTGAAGCAGGTCTCTCTCCCGCTTGTCTGGCCAAGACAAGTGGGTCTGCAATCACTTTGCCACTCCTTGTAGTGATAGCATTGTAGTGGGTATTCGGGTCCTTCAGATTAGGAATGGTATGACCCGGCAAGGTACCCGGAGCCCTCTGTGCCACTGCTTGAGCCACACTCCCCAACTGGGTTTGGATATCCTTCAAAATAGCCTGTGTATTCCTCTGGCCAACTTCAAGAGCCAGGAATTTACTCGAGGCCTTTTCCATGAACTGCTCGATGGTGTTGAATTTATGAGCACTTGAACTGGCAAGAAAACCCACCAGGTCCCGCAGTTCAGCTATAAGATCATTCTGCACTAGGGTTGCAGTAGCTGCACCTGGCTGCTGGAAAGGTCGCGGCTGCGGTTGAACAGCCTGTCCCTGCATGGGCTGGTAGAGAGACTACTGCTGCTGCTGAAATTGCCCCTGCCTGAGCTGATATGGCGGTCTTTGGAAACCTGGAGGTCCCTGGGCGACTGGTGGCTTAGGATTATTTCCACTCCAGGAGAAGTTGGGTTGCTGGCGCCACCCCTCGTTATATGTGTTGCTGTAGGTGTCGACATGCTTGGCATTTTTGATGAAGTCCAACTGCTACTAGGGAAAAGTAGATTCCCTCATCGCCTGGCAGTCTTCTACGGTGTGATGGGAGCTCTCACATCACTGGCAACGCATTACCTGCTGCTGTCCTGTCCCTGGAACCATCCCAGTACGATCGATGGTCGAGACCAACTTAGAAACAACCTGCACCAAATCAGATGATTGGGTGTCCATAGCATGTACACCCCGGCCTGGTACTTGCCTCGACCTCCTAGCTATACCCCAATCATATCCTTGCTCTGCCATCTCTTCAAAGATCCGATTCAACTACGGTGGCGTCTTAGTCAGCATGTTCCCGCTACAAACCGAGTCGATCAGCTGCTTATCTTCTGGGAAGAGGGCATGGTAGAAGGTGCCCACCTTGAAGGCATCATTGAAACCATGTTTGTGACACTTCAGGAAAAGACTGATGTATCTTTCACAAGCATCCAGAATGGTTTCATCTTCCTCCCGGGAAAAATGAGTGATTTGTTTCTGCAGGTCCGCCGTCTTTGACGGAGGGTGATAGCGGGTGAGGAACTTGTCCGCCAGGTTGGCGAACGTAGTGATCGATCCCGGAGACCGAGTGTCCAGTCACTCCTTGGCTTTCCCCTCCAGAGTGAATGGGAAGTATCTCAGCTGGATGGCATCGAAAGGGACCCCATTTATCTAGATCCCATCAATCAGCTCCTGGAATCGTCGAAGGTGCGATCTGGGACACTCCCCCTCCTTTCCACGGAATACCACCGAGCCATGCAGCATGGTGATGATAGAGGTGCTCACCTCAAAGTTGTTGCCAGCAACTTGAGGGTGTTGGATGGGGGACCTCATGTCTATTGTGCGGACGGTCTAGTAATACCCCATGGTATCCTGGGTATGACCACATCATTGTTTTGTGTTTCACCGATCTCTTCCTCCTCAGTGATGTGCAGTTTCTCCAAAGCTTCCTCCGAAGCCGTCGTGCTTCAAAGCTCGCTTGAAGTTCCTACAAGTCAGTTCAAGCTTTTGGTCTAACGGCAATAGATCTCCCGACTGGCTACGGGTTATGCACTACCTGCACACATATGGAAAACACAACTTGTGAAGGCAAACAGATGGAAGAGAGAAAATGCAGCAAAGAAAATGCTAAAGTAACAGACTTTCATTCTACAATAACCTAGAAGTCCCTGACAACACCAAACTACGACCAAGTGTAATCGCATAATGGAAATGCAGAATAGTGGTAAGTTTAATTTATCAACCCGGGGTCTAGATCTACTGCCAACTCCATGATTATCTATTATCTAGCGGGACTAAGTTTAGTGAGAGTGATTGTAAACAAAAGCAGTAAGAAAGCAGGAAGTTGTTCGATTTTCAAAAGCAAGGGGAGAGTCACTCGGGAATGAGTCCCCCTAGCTCCTTAGTTAGGTCCAAGTTGTAATTTCCTTGGAATCTCTTAAGCTGACCAAGCACTCTTAGACAGACTAATCGGCAGACGACTAGTCTTCACCGGGATAGAAAGCTAAGGAAATGAACACAGAACTCCACTACTGGATTTGGATTCTAGTACAAAACAGTGAATCGATTAACTCTCGTATAATCAATTCACTACTACCGATTGAAGAAGCTCTAACAACCTGATCAGATTCTATCTATCTCAGGTTGCAGCAGAAATCAAGAAAAGTAGATCAGGCTTCAATTGACTCAATAAACACACTTCAATCAATTATAATCAAGCAGTATCTCAAAGAAAAAGTCATTACAAACATTATCCCTAACACATGGAACTAAGGTTCTTCATACCCAAGTGAGAAAAGGGTCTACTCCATAGAGAGAGAGAGAGAGAGAGAGAGAGAGAGAGGGAAGCAGAATTCAAAGCAATCATACTCATAATGATGGGAAGAATCTGCTCTGGGATGATAATCTTCACTACAAGGATGAAATCCAAGCTTGATTGATGACACCAAGCTCCAAAATCAATTCTAGGGTTTGTTCTTCGCACTTTCTCTCTCTAGGACTCTGTTTTTGCTCTGAAAATTCGTCTCCCTCTTCAATGACCCGAAATTGGGTTAAGAAGCAGCTGTCCGCGATTGCACGGTCAGACCGCACGGCCGTGCGACCTCATAGTCTGCCCGTGCACCTTCAAAATGCGTCGTTCATTTAATTCCACCAGGGGAGGGGGGGGGGGTGCACGATTATTGCACGGACCGTGCAATGCGAGAGCCTTCCCGTGCAATCCTCTCGCAGAAATCATCACGACCACCAATTCATATCGCATGGCCTTGCGAAAAAATGGGTCAGGCCGTGCAGCTTCTCTGTAAATCCTGCACGGCCACAAAGGCCACCATGCACGGCCATGCGCTTTCCCGTCATGGCGTGCAAGTTGTCTAATCTCCCTTCGCTCGTCCCGATTTCTCCCAATCGACTCCAAACTCGTGTTCAAACCTTTATTCACGCATTAAGACCTGAAATGTCATAAACAAGAACAACCTAGCGTAAAATCGGCTTAAAACTTGAGATACGAGCCTCAAGCAGTATAAGAATGACGGACAAAAACATGTGTAAATATCGAGTCATTAGCCAACATTGCCTCGAGGCTTCAAATTATCCAGATTTTCGTCCCGACTTATGAGAGTGCATTAGAGAAACGAGTAATCTTCTCGTCTCTGGCCGATTCCTCATGAAGCAGTTTCAAACCTCCTTCTTCAAAGCCTTAGTATGTACCCTGATCCTTCTTCCGAAACTTCCAGCTATCGATTGGAGGGTTTAATGGGACTGGGTCAGAGTGAGAGCAATCCCTTAGATGGAGAGTCATGGAACACCACATTCCTCGTGGAGGATGACTACTATTATTGGCAAGATTGGTTCAGGGGCAACCTCTCCAAATGCGATAATTGTGGGTGTCGTTGGAATAATGACGATGGTCGGTGGTGATGGAACTGTCATCTTAGTCGAGGTGGAGAGAGCCTTGCCAGTGATGGGCACCTGCTCGATGATAGTGATGATGCTTGGGATGGCAGCGGCAGGATTCACATATTTCCCGGGACAGTAGCAGCGTGATTGGAGGATCGACACTTGCATCTCATCTTGGCCAAGAATCTTGCGAGGTTTTCCTTAGGATGAGTTGCGTTCACTTTCAAGTTATCCAAGATAGCCTAAAATCTTGCTTGTAATTGCTCGTGGTTTGCCTCTTGTTTGGCAAAGAAGACATCGATTTCATGATAGAAGTCGTTCCAGTCACCGGGGTGAGAGTTGTGACGAACTCATATTCACAATCAGACTCTAATACCAAATGATAGAAATCCATTTTCCAGGGCTTTACCGATCTGGTTGTGGGAATTAGTGATTTAGGTAGAATGCCAAATGATTGGAAATTAGAATAAGGATTTGGGAAGAGTTTAGGAAGAACTAGAAAAGAAGAAGATAGATGGCTTATAGGGGTGGCAGTTCGGTTACCGGTTACCGGTTAATCGACTGGTTAAATCGATAACCGGTTGGTTATCCACTAACCGGTAACCGAAGTAACCGAACTTTGGTCGGTTATCGGAGGGTAGAAGAAATGGTTTTTGGTCTTAAAAGTGGATCAGTTAACCGATAATCGAGATAACCAAGAAACCGAAGCCATTTTCGGGCGGTTTTCGGTAGGGGAAGTGGTTCTTTCGGTTAACCGATAACCGGTCAATCGGTTATCGGTTATAACCGAAATAACCAAAATGTCACCCCTAATGGCTGATGACCTTAGAGAGAGACATAGGCTGAGCCGGAGTAGTTAGTCGTTATCATAATACATGGGTAAACTTTGGGGAGGAATAATACTCCCATATATGCTTAACTGAAAATCAAACTCAACACTTACAAATACCATAAGGATATTTTTGACACTACACTATAACTCATTACGTGTTCATTAATTGACAAAAGATAATTATTTTATTGATTCCATTCTTGACAGTATTGTTCGACAACAATTTGTTGGGTATTATGATTATGTTACGGACTTATGGTTGATGAGAGATTTGATGGATTGAAAAAAATTGATGAATTATTTCGGGTAGACAAAAGTGCATCAATCATATATGCCAGTTTATTTGTTTCTGAAGCTAGTTGTAATTCTACATATTGCAACTATAAGTATAGAAAGAGCATTTTTAGCTTAAGCTATATTAAGGACAAGTTTTCAAGCCGACAGTTTACTAATGATTGTTTAATGGGATACATTGTTTGGAGAAAATCTTCAGTGCTCCAGGTGTATCACGTCACCTCTGCACTGCCCCAATAAAAAATTGTCACGTATTAAAGGTTAAAAGGAAAAGAAAGAGGCATTTTTTGAACTTTTACAACTTAATTAATATTCCGACTCCGAGCAAAGAACTAAGGCGACGTAAGCTGAAAGCAGAGGTGACTCTGATGGGGATTCATTGTGCAGTTCATTTAATAGTGGTTTCCCCGAACTGAACTTTGAATCCAATTTTCTCACTGGTTTGGGTTGGTAAAACCGCTGGGTGTCTTGATGTGAGAAGAGAAAGCGAAGTAGAGAGTCAAAGAAAAAAGGGAATACACCTTGGAATGGGTAAGAAGTTTGGGAATCCAATTTGCCAACCACCAAATTTTCTTATTAATATTTTGAGCCTAAAATTCTTCGTGATGGTTGCTGAATTGGATTATATCACTTTTCTCCAAAATATCTCCTCACTCTCATCTTCTGTGACTTATCCCGATGAACTGTTACCCACAGTTCAAGGGCTTTGCTTGTACTCACAAGCGGAAGAAAGGCGTTGGTGTCTATAAACCTTTGATTTATTAATTGGCTATGGAACTAATGTCGAACTTACATCTTTATAGACTAGAAAACCTTAATAATTATCCTAGTCCTAGCCGAAACCTACCACTCTTTCGTTGACCACTTGGCCAACTAATCCAAGCCCATTCACTAATACCCTACTACCCACCTACATACCATCTCAACCCAAGCCTAAATCTAAGCCCAATTGATACGAGCATGGAACCTGTACCCGTAGTTATCAAAGTACGCATCTCAAAGAACGAACAATAGAAAGATTGTTTAGGGGGTTTCGTTTGTTCAGGATAGGATGGAATTGAAAGTGCAATCTCAACAAAAATCGGGAGAAGGCTCAATCAATACAAAAAAGATAGAATCTCGACCACAACAAAGGGGAACACTTTATTGATACAGAGAAAAGTTCAAGCCTCAAGCTCAAAACCAAGGTAAAAATCAATATTATGCTAAAAACTAACCCTAAAACCCGAGTCTCATCCATTATATAGGTCTGGAAAATTAAAATAACAAAACAACTTAAAACACAAAAATCTCGTCGGTCAGACCCGAAACCCGGTCGGGTATTTTGGGTCTCAGGCCGGGGAAATTCCCTTAACGGAATACCCGCCCTCCCCCCTGATTTCTCCGGTCGGGTAATTTGGGTCTCAGGCCGGACTTTTTCCCTGAATTGCTTCCCCGATCTCCTCCTAATTTCCCTGGTCGGGGAAATTCCTTCAGTCAAAACCCAGTCCCCTGCAGCTGCTGTCCCCGCCACTTGCTCTCCTCCTCCTCTAGAATTGTGCCTGGATCCCAGGGCAACTTGGCCTGCATTAGGCCCTCCCCGTTTGAGAAGTTTTTCTCTTAAAGCTTGTATTTTCCTGTAAAAGACAACATTAACAGCATTCCCAACTGGACTTTTCCTCGATGCAATCAACATGTTCTTTCGAACCATCAGATGTGCTCCACTTTTGTCCTCCGACTTCGAGCCAATCACACTTCCTTTCTCCTTGGCCCAGTTCATGGCCAACTTTTGTTGATCTTCCCGGACTTCAGCTGGCGACAATGGATTGAGTAGAAACTTTCGATTGCCTTTCTTGAATCTGTAGCTGTTGTGCCTTCCATCATGAATGATCTCTCGATGTTGAATCTTTTCCCACCACACTGCTGCATAATTTGTAAACTCATAGGTGGCTACAATAAACTTATGATGCTCTATGTAAGGATTACACTGGAAAAACATAAACATCTTCCTCTCCTAGTCAAGGTAAGCTGATGCACTAATAGTGCCTTGAAACGATGGGATTAAGATCTTAATCCCTCGAATCGGTTCAACGCCATAACCCCCTGCTTCTGGTGGTCTTCCTCCACATTCATTATAATCATTCTCATACTCATTAAATGGAGGTCTGTACTGTGGGATTACCTGACGACGTTGCTCCGGGTATTGGCGCCTCTGCCTCTACCAATCTGGGGTCTTAGGAAAAGCCTAGTACACTCGATCTGCTTGGGGACCCTCTTGGTTCGCGGATCCAGTATGAGCTACGACCTTTGATGGGTTCTCTGGTGGAGGTAGATTACCCATTGGTTGCATTCCCAACCTGGTGATTAGGGTATCTAGTCGCTGATTCGTCTCAACCAGCTGAACTTTGGTAGCGTCCTGCTGGGCCTAAAGCAAAGCGCCCATCTGCGCCTCAGCGCGACAAGCAACTTCATGGCTTCTGCAAGATCCTGACTCTGCTCTCCCATGACTTGTTCTTCGATTGGGGTTTCTTCTTTAGACAACGATTCTTCCTCTTCTCTGCATTCTGCAATCGGATATTTGGACCTCGTTCGACAAGCAACAAGTCCTCTCACTTTCGATCCCGCTACTGTGTTGAACCCGACTCTGATACCACCTGATACCAGCACGGAACCTGTACCCATTGTTATCAAAGTACACAGCTCCAAGACCGAACAATAGAAAGACTGTTTAGGGGTTTTTGTTTATTCGGGATAGGATGGAATTGAAAGTGCAATCTCAACACAAATCGGGAGAAGGCTCAATCAATATAAAAAGATAAAATCTCGACCACAATCAAGGAAAACACTTGATTGATACAGAGAAAAGTTCAAGCCTCAAGCTTAAAACCAGGTAAAAATAAATATCTGCTAAAAACTAACCCTAAAACCCGAGTCTCAACCTTTATATTAAGTCGGGCTTTTTCCCTGCCTGCCTTCCCCGATCTCCTCCTAATTTCCCCAGCCGGAAAAATTCGTTCAGGCAAAACCCGGTCAGCTGCAGCTGCTGACCCGCCACCTACTGTCCTCCTCCTCTGGAATTGTGCCCGAATCCTAGGGCAACTTGGCCCACATCACTAATAATCTAAACCCATAAACATGATTAATCAAAACCCATAAACTAATAACCCAAAGAACCAAACCCAAAATAACCTTATCCGACCTTCTCCCCCAAAGAACCTTGGTCCCAAGGTTCGGTTCACACCGAGACGTGGTGGTCGAGAGTGAAAGCAATCGCAGCTCTTGCGACGACGTGAAGGCTTTGGTCTCTTCCTGAATTTTCACGAGCGACCGCCAACAGTAAGCATCATTTTCCATTCCCCAACCTCAATTGCACTAATGAAAAAAAACCAGCCAACCACCAAACTTCCCTGCCATACACCTCCACTCTCCTTTTTCTTTTGAATTTCCAAGAATATCTAGGATCCATTTTTCCGCTTGCAAACATGGTAGAATCTTTGGGCACTTCCATTCCAACATGTGTGACCAACAACTTCTCTTCACCAATCAAAGCACGTTCAAGCGGTTGTTTTCCCGGCTCACTTGACCAAGCCAGTGCGCATCCGTCTACCTCACGCAATTCTTGCGGCAGTGGCTTAATTTCCGAAGGCATCCCTTTGAGCGGCACCAACACGTCCATGCTGCTGACAGACGGTCCCGCTTCGCTGAACATAGCTCCAATTTAGAGCTCCTTCTTCCTTCAGTTTCCGAATCGAAGGATGAGAGCCTCGCATAGGGGCGATGCACCTGCGCACACTGTTTCCTTCCCGCGAATCTTGTCCCCACTGAACGACGGTGTCATCACGCCTTTCCCTTCCCTTTGCTGCGTTAGGGCATCGATCTTAGCCACAAGTGTCTTCAATACCTCTCCCATGTCCTTCACTTGCTCCTTCAATTCCTCGAGGTCGGCCGCGTTGGCCTGTACCAGCCCTTGCAGCTCCTCCACTGTAGCTTCCAGCGCTGAGCTTCGTTCCGCCGCCGTGCCCGTACCCATTCCAAACAGATCCCGAACGTATTCAGAATTAGGCTCTAATACCAATTGATGAACTGTTACCCATAGTTCAAGGGTTTTGCTTGTAACTCACAAGCGAGAGAAAGACGTTGGTGTCTAAAAACCTTTGATTTATTAATTGGCTACGGAACTAATGCCAAACTTACATATTTATAGACTAGAAAAAGCCTAATAACTATCCTAGTCCTAGCCGAAACCTACCACTCTTTCGTAGACCACTCGACCAACTAACCCAAGCCCATGCACTAATACCCTACTACCCACGTACATACCATCTGACTGAAGCCTAAATCCAAGCCTAATAATCTAAACTCATAAACATGAGTAATCAAAACCCATAAACTAATAATCCTAAAGACCCAAACCCAAAATAACCTCATCATATCCTTATATAATACCGAAGATTATCCCACCTCCACCGTAATAAGAAGCTTTGATGCACTTTGTTTATTGTTTTCATATACCTCATTTCATCTTTGTCGTCCGGGGTTTTGTCGTCGGTTGGGCTTGGACACATTGACGGAACGACGCATCCATTTCACACCGCCAGAGCGTAGTTGTTTTTTTCTCTCGTTTTAAACCTTTAACATGTGGCAGTTTATGATTGGGGCGGTGCACAGGTGACGTGATACACCCGGAGCACTGGAGATTTTCTCTTGAAAGAGACTTTCTCAGTGTAAACAATGAATGTATTTCACATTTCTTTCAAAATATCTTTGTGGTGGTTGTTTATACAAACAATAAGTGTATCATCATAAATGACACTAGTTTATCTCCCACTTAAGTTTTTGTTAAAACTCTCAATTAAACCGTACACAACATTTTTAGTTTTCCGCCACATACCCTAACTACAGCTCATATGTACAATTACAAGAAGGTTCATTAATTAACATAGGACCGAACGTAGGTGCTGCAAAAAAAGGTAGCGGATAAATTTGGATCGGAGTACCTAAACCTAATCCTACTATCCGGCCACAATGAGGTTGATTTAGTTGTATGACTTTGTGACAACTAACAAAACTGATTATAACAAAATCTGCAAAAGGGAAGTACCATAACATATCATCCGAAAAGCCTGCAAGGTTTAATAACATAGAAAGCACAACACGCCATAGCTAGCTAGCTAGGTAGGATCCTTAAAAGAAGCAAATTCCAAGTTCTTCTGAATTAAACATGCATAGAACATAGATAGATAGTTGAATTGGGTGCATTCATCAGCAATCCAATTCTGGATTTCATCTGCTAGCAGGGAAAAGGGGTAGCCTAGCGGCCATACCAGTAGTAATCATCAGCCTTGGTCTCGCGATACGCAAGAGGGACGTAGCTCGAAGGATCCTGCTGCAGGGTACGAGGCTTCTTCGGCCTCGGAGTAGCAGTGTGGCTCTTGGTTTTGGGTTTAGCAGCAGCAACAGTACCCTTGCCTCTGTCTCCTGCAGAAGTAGATGCTCTAGCAGTTATGCCACCAGCTGCGTTTTGCAGCACTTGATGATGAACTACATTGTTCATAGCAGCAGCAGCAGCAACATCATCCCCTGCCTCCTGCTGATCGCCACCTTTACCCCACAAACTGTGCACACAGAACATTTGTATCACAATGTAAGATAACACCACTATGTAACCATGGCCAATTTCATAAACTGCTGGTTCAATGGAGATACTGTTGCTTACTTGGGATCAAAATTGATGTCATCCTCATCATCACCCAAGAGCAAAGCAAGAGACCTGCGATCGCGCAGCTTGTCGATACCAAGGGTCTCAGTGCTGCCATCTCGATACACTACCTGTGATTATACAGAGAGTGATACATATATGTGAGATGTATACTTGGTCAAAATTATAAAGACAAATTAGCAAAAAAACGGGTCGATGATGGTGAAATGAACCTGAAACAGTTTCTCGTCGGTAATGTAGTTGAGAACGCCACCAAGCAGTGGTTCAGCACCCTTCATGTTATGCTTAGTCACCATCTTCCCGATCCACGGCATCGCCGCCATGGCGTCAATGTGCTTCTGTTCATTTCAACCCAATTAAATTAAGGTGACAATGATGATATTGAGAAATCAAACAACGGTGCTGGCCAGGTTTCATTACAGCGAGATTAGCTTCAGCAGAGGCTTGGAACTCATCAAGAAACATCTCTCGAGCATCAGTTGGGGATGAGGCAGGAAGCGCTGCAAATCCCACGCCAACAGCTGCTGCAGGTTCATCAGTCGGGTTGCTGCTCGTGGAGTCCTCATCCAATAAGTAATCTACATTTGAGCCATAGACAGTCAACGCATAATGTTGTTATCCCCGCACAACAATTTTTGAGTGCTTTTCTTACTCATATTCATATAGCAAGGAAACGGCACAAGATGTAAACTTAAAGACTTTACTTGTGTTCGAATCCTGATAATCTTCGATGTTAACAACTCATTTTGAATATAGAGTATGACGAGTATGTGCAAATTAAACTTCAAATTTACGAGTTGGATTTTGTTTGAGAGCAATATTGCATTCTCCTGGTAAATTGGTTCCCGACTAATATGATATATATGGCATGTAAACTTGAAAGAGTACACCACTAATAATGAGAAATGTCATAATATCGTTTCTTGAGCGGTTAGCAACTGCTTCTAATTAAATGACTTCGAATTGATTTTTTTTATACAAGTTAATCTAGATTAATCAAACTTATAGTGGTGGAGCCATCCTAATATTTTGAGACCCCGTGTTGGAGAACCTCCCAACACATGCTAATAGTCGGGTATGGTTCCAAATATGTCAATTGCTACTTAAGAACTAGACTAAAGCTTAATCAATGCGTTAAAATATTTGAAACATGCTAGAACGTATCTTGTGTGAATGTAAGTTATCTCTTTGTTAAAGTCACCCATGTTTATTTATAGTTCCGTTGCTTAATCGAATCTTTCTTGTTTGCTTGTTGGATTTGAAAATGAGGGTTTTGAATTTTAAAAACCTTTGGATTTATGATGGATTTGTTGCATTATGAATTTGAAAGAGTACATTGTTTATTTAGTTGAATTTTTATCATGGATTTATGATGGATTTGTCTAACATTTTTGCCTTCCATTATCAAATGCCAAATAAAATGTGGGATTTAAAATTCCGTTGACCCCAGGGATTTGTGTCTCTTATCAAACAATGAATTTGTGTCAATTCCATGATGCTTGGGATTTGATTTTCAAATCCATCACCCAAATCCCACAAGCAAACGACCTCTAGTTCATAAATACTCTGACTTCATTCAGGCAATCAGTCTATTATTTTTAGATTACGATGATAAATGCTTTAAATAAATGTGAAGGAGTGGCTAAATGATTTTTTTTTGTAATTTGAATGATACATAATAATTGATATACTATGTTTATAAATATTTTTAGTCAAAAGATATAATTGGCAAACATAATCCTAATTATAATTGAAATATTTTAAAGAGTTACAACAAAACCAAATTATACATGGAAATCAATAAACTTTTATAGAAGAAAATCAACCAATTTGAGTAACAATGAATCTTAAAATCTTTTGACTAATCTAGCATCTCGTTTACCACCAAAGCATATCTTTCTCGGCCTTTGCTAAGATCAAGTCTAGTTTACCACCAAAGCTAAATCAAATAAAGTTGTCCTCTATGCGAATATGCCCAAACTACTTCAAAAATTTGTATTCATGTAAGTTAAATATGTTTTTAATGATTGTTCACATCAAGATTCCTACTTAGAGTGAGATGTTATCACATTCACATTATCACTAGATAAATCCCTTAAGATTAATTTTATGTTTGTTATGAAGCTAAAATTTACGATGCAACCGAAATTATTTCGTTTAAAGCCCGTAATTTCAAAGAGTTCGAATCTTCCAAATAAGTTAGTAGTATTCGACACGTGGATTTCAAAAACATAGTTTACTATGTGTGTAAGTTAAACCTTAATTATTTACAAGTGAAATCGGTCAATTAAGACGATCGATGATTGAGACGTAATAATATTTCCCTTTAAAAATAACATCAAACTACATAACCTCGATCTGTGATTTACGTACGATGCAAGATACTTGACAAAAACACTATATAGTTGTTGAAACATGCATTTATAAAGGAGTTCAAATTACCCATCAATTTGGCGGGGATTTAACACGTGAATTACAAAATTCTGATTGACGCTTGAAGAAATTGGAATACTCAGCATAAACTGAACATTAGCACACAAATATTGATAAGATTTAGATGATGAATATTGACACACAAATATGATAAACAAAACAATTGATAAAATTTAGTTGATGAAGATCACTCAATTTGTATCCAAAGATCCATTAACCGTCAAACCAAAAAGAGTAGATCCACAAACCACAAACCCGAATCCAACAGTAACCAAGAGATCTAAACCAAATTTATTGTCATCCTAGTGAAGGACTAGACACAGAAAGCAAACAAACACCAATACGATGAAAAGAAAATTGATATTCCTGAAAACCAAAATTGATGATGAATTGATTTAACATTTTCCTCAAGATTTCACCTTTGATAAGTGGTGGGAAATCCATCATGCACAATTTGTACTAGCTGCTTGTCTCCTTTTTGCTCTCAGATCTGGAACACCCAAACAACAACAACAACAAAAATATATCAATACTATTCACTGTGATGAGAAAGATGTAAAATTCACACACAATTTGATCAAGAAACCTAACCTGTGAAACTATGAGAATTATTTTTGCTTTACTCTTTTCAGTATCAAGTTCTGGCTGTTTGGATCTCTACCCTCAAAGAGGTTATATGAGACTTCACAAAAAAAGTTTAATTAGTGAATAATGTGAACCAACAGCTTAAATAAAGTTCAAAAAATATTTTTTATTTATTTAAAAATTGAAAAAAAATTAAGAGGTTAGTTGGGGCTTTTAATTGGCAGCCTCTATGTATTCTGAAATACATGCATTTGAAATAAGAATATACGGTTTGAATGAGAAAAAGTGAATTCAAGTAATTAAATGTCTAATGATCACTTTTTTAAAATACAACAATTGAAATTCTATATAACATAACACGTGAAAACAAAATATCAAAACAACCAAGAGCGACAAGCGTACAACTTTTTTATGATAAAACTTTGTTTTATTTGTTACTTTTTTTTGTTTTGGAAAGAAAGTGAATAGGGTCGGGGTGTAGTTGAAAGTTGGCATTTAAGAAAGTCATTAATGACTGAAAAAGTTTTGTAACTTATTTAACTTTTCATGATGATTTTTTTTTCAAAAGTTATCAGGAAAAAAAAGAAAGAAAGAACCAACCAAATTAAATACTTTATTAAATTATATTCCAATTATAATTTGAGGTATAATTGTAAGGAAAAAATATAACATTTACTTTTTTATTTTCTCGTGCGATAGAACTAAGCTCCTCTAAATTTTTTGAAATATTTAAAGAAGAATTGCAATATCAACCAGTACTAGTCACGGGCCCGGTCAGTTGGCCGGATTCAATTACCTATTACATAAATAATATCATCTAATTGTATGTGAGATAGGTGGGTTTTGATAGTATAAGCAAATCTAAAATATTCAAATAGTTGAAACATTCAAATTGTTTGATAGAATAAGAGAATCCAAATTATTAAAGCACTTCAATAATTTATAATATTTAAATAGTGTTTTTCGACATTGTAAGCAACTAACTCATCGACTAAACTCCTTTTACGAAAATGAAAGAAAAATCTGGACTGACTCCTAACCACATTTTAAAATTACCCTTCTACTTACTCCCCATCGTCAAAGATTACTGCACATTTTCATTTTTACTTGTTTGCACTTCCTCCGACATGAGCAACATCACCATGTGCATCAATATTAATGTCTTCATCTCCATTAGTTATACATTTATCTCCATTATTAATTTCCTCTTCTTATTCTCTCTTGTATTGTATTCTCAGTAATACATGTATCATGAGAATACAACATTTTTTGACTTGATGTAATAACAGAATGCATGTCTTCATAATTCATGTTGTATTCCTAATACATAGAAAATGATGTATTCATAATCTTACCTTTTTGGTGAGATTTTAGTATTTATAGTTCATTTAAACTATATTCCATGCATTCTTTTATGGGTTTCAAACAATAAATTTTCAAAACCACACATTCTTAGTATACACATAATCTTTAATACACCCCTATATTAATTAACTGTTCAAATATGAATCACTAACTTTTTCGGTTCACGTCCCATTTTCTACCAAAAAAAAAAAAAACTTTTTCGGTTCAGCATCCGATTCATTATGAAAACGATGGTTTTCTTGCAACCTGCACTTTGCGAGTGTCTCATTTAATAGATTAAATGCCTAATAAGAGTTAGGCCTAGGCGTGTGTAATATAATAATTGATAACCTAAATTGCTTGGACATGGTGAATGGTAAGGCTCAAGATAGGGTGCATAACCATGGGTTATGCATCCATCAATAACCAAATCTGGACCCTTCATTTAGAAAATCCAAATCTAAGGATGGAAAATTAAGGACCATTTTTATGTTTCCTAGCTTTCTTAATCGGCTCATATCTTTTTCGTTTTAACTCGGATTTTAATTTTTTTTGCACAGATGGAACGAGTTCATCGTGCTCTACCAAATGAGAATAATTTTCAATATTTTTTTAGAAAAAAAAAATTTGGCCTCTCGGTACCAACTGCATACCATATGATATCTTCTTCGTTTTTAATTCGTTTTTGAAAATTTTTGCACAGAAGGGACGAGTTCATGATGATCTATTGGATCTACAAATTTATAGGTGAACAAAATACAGGACCAAAAAATACCACACAATACCATACAATACCACCCTGGGGTGGTATTGTATGGTATCTTATTCGTTTTTAATTCGTTTTTGAAAACATTTGCACAGAAAGGACGAGTTCATCATGATCTATTGGATCTACAAATTTCTGAGTGAACAAATTATAGGACCAAAAAATACCACACAATACCATACAATACCACCCTAGTACGGGGTGGTCTTGTATGGTATACAATGTTAAAAGTCGTAAATGACAATAAATATACTTCTACTATCATGCATTCAACCATCCTACAGTCTTGGTTTGTTCATACCACCATGGTACGTTTTTCAAACCATAGGTATGCTTTTATTTCAATACTAGTCAATACCATATGGTATAGACTCGTAAAAAATGGCTCAATTTTTTTTGTTCGAAAAATATATTAAAGTGGATATCATTTTGAAGAGCACAATTAATCTGATCTAATTGTGCAAAAAAAATTAAATTTCGACTTAAAATGAGTGAGAAATCGTCCGTCAAAGATTAAAGAGGGGAAAATTAAAGGCTTTCTAGGAGAGAGAGGATGCTGATGTCATGCTGATGTGGGCTGGTTACTCATGGTTACTCACTATAAGGCTACTGACCTGATCCATTCCCGAATGGTAACCCATATGATGAATAATTATTAGTTAGCCATTGGTTAGTCAAAGAAGCTGTACCCAAGCCCATATAAATTAAAAACATTCCGTCCACTTATGCCCTGTTCACTTCCCATTTCATTTTCTGTTTTTTGGTTAAAAAATGAAAATCAGGAAACAAATGGACATAAAACGTGTTCACTTGACCATTCCATTTTCCTTGGAAAAACCCAATTATTACAATTGGGAAAACCATTAATACTCGTTTTCTGAATAGAATGGGATGGGTTATCCCCCGGTTTCCCAGCGGAAAACGTACTAATCCCTCAAACCGACCTGAGTTCGATTCACCATAGACGCATTTTCTTTTTACCCTTTTTTTCTCTCCTAAGCGCTATCATTTCTCTCCAGCAACCCTAGAAGAGAACTGTCGTCTTCCTCTCCTCCCTCCACGTTCGACTCGCCACCTTCGTCTTCCTCTCCTCCCTCCAGCCTCTCCTCCCACTTCGTTCGCCCCACCTCGCCGCCATCAACATCTCGCTCGCCTCCCACGTCGCCGCCATCGTCTTCCTCTCCTCCCTCCAGCCTCTCCTCCCACCATCGCCCTCCATCCGCCACACCTCGCCGCCATCAACATCTTGCTCGCTTGCAAGTTGCAACCCTTTTTGTCCATTCTTCTTTCCTTCCCCAGTTCCCCTCCTCTATAAATAACAAAAAAACCGTTTCCTTCCACATCTGCAACACTAGAGCATAATCCCAAACCATGGATTCACTTCCCATCAAATTTCAAGTAATTTGCTCTGTTTCTACTCTGTTTTCTACCCTGTTTTTCATTTTCCCCGGAACCAAACAGAGGGACCAGTTAAAATCAATGGGTACTGAACTCTTTTTTTCCCCTTCCTTCCTTAATTGTCTCCAGGTGAAGAAGAATGGAGTATGGATCCTGCTACTACTGGCGCCTTTAATGGCGGCATCAACGGAGAGCAGAAAAGCAAAGGTAGTCGACTCCTTCGAGTACATTGCGATGAGCTGCAGACCCACAGCGCTTCCATAACAGAGTTCGGAGCAGTTGGGGACGGCAAAACTTCCAACACCAAGGCGTTCAAGGACGCCGTGGATTACCTCGGCCAATTCTCTTCGGACGGCGGGTCTCAGCTCTACGTCCCCGCCGGCGGGACATATTTGAATTTTTATGTTGTACTAGTACTTAATTAATATAAGATGTTGTACTTGTATTGTGTTTATTTGTAGTTTAAAAACTATTTAATTCGAATTAAAAATTATAATCATGGCTAGGGTTGTATGATAATCAAGAATAAAAAAACAGAATGAAGCAACTAAACAGGATTGCTTTTTAGACCTCAGTTTCAGAACTCACCAAAATTCTCAGCTAAACAAGATTTTTAAGTGATTAGACCTTAATAATTAAAAATGAAATGACCAAACTCCCCTTCCGTGGTATTCGCTGGAGCCAGAAAAAGTAAGATTAAGAGGGTGGAGGAGGAGAACCTCCATAATGTATTGTTTGATTTACTGAAATTATAGATTAAATATAAATTTTTTTCTTTTTAAAATCACTATAACCAAGATTTCAATAATCACACAGAAAAACTTCTTTTGGACCAACTGGAATTCTTAATCTCATTGGATCTTCGACATCGATCAATCAGGTCACTTTTCAAATCCTTGTATAGTAAGGATTCTTAAAGGGTTCTTCTTGCGCTTCTGAAATCACGTTCCCTTTGCATGATCTAAATGGTACTTATGAATTGGCAATGACCACTAAGCTCATAGACTGTTTGTAGAGCCTAATAATACAGTATATTGCGCCCAAGCCGACATGAAGGTTAAAGATTCCAGCTAGCCTTATATGGTGATTATGCTATACATATTTGTCACTTTGTATCGGATATGAAGATAAAGATCCAAAAAATGTCATGCTAATGCTAATTTGGACTAATCATAGTATGATCTCTTGATTCTGGAAAAGTTTATCCATACCAAGCAACAATATCAAACATCATGTCACTACATTGTGTTCGTGCATTTGATAGTCCTTTCCATTGAGGGAACAAGATATATCAAGCACTATATAGAGAAAATATGTGTCCTCTCTTTTGTCAAGTCCTTTACACACTTCAATTCTACACCTAATTATTACTAACTTTGCATGCTATTATGAGTCATGAAGCATAGAATAAAGGGTAAATACAATTTAATATCCAAATCTTTCATTTTAAACAATATAATAGCCAAATCTTTTCGAAAACAATCTAATATCTAAATCGTCAACTTTCCGTTCGTTTGACCGTTAGTTGACACTTCAAAAAAGCTTTGTTTAGAGGAAATTGTCACAATACAACTTTGTTTCTTGTTTTGGCATTTCAGATGACTGAATATTTAGATATTCTATACCATCATGGTGGAGTCATGGACTTCTCGGGTTTGGAACTACGATTGATGGTGATTTTTCAGAGAAGATATCGATGGATATTGATGAAGTGTCGTACTTCGAACTTTTTTGAAGTGTCAACTAACGGTCAAACAGACAGAAAGTTGACGATTTGGATATTAGATTGTTTTCGAAAAAGTTTGGCAGTTAAATTGTATTTACCCTAGAATAAAAGTATGCAATCAAACATGTAGGTACCTCTTTTGACAATCTTGAGTCCAATATCTACATTAATGACCACTACGAGATTCTCTTACGAAATATCTTTACAGAATGAGTGAAGTAATCTTAACAAGCGAGCCATCCAACACCTTGATTCGCTAATGTTCTTAGCAATGTGTAAAGTTCATGCCTATTACATAAAATCATCACAAAAATAGTATATATTCATTATGTCACTTTAATCCACCTAGTATTTCAGTTAGAGATGGTTAGGATTATTTAAGGTCTGTATTAGTTTGTTAATCGTACATATATTACATGACCCATATTAGAGATATCAAGATTTATTGCATATATGACTAACAAATGTAAAAATGCATAATCTCATTTGGGAACTATCACTAAAATTTAGATATTGCTCCCACCCACCCCAAGATCTCATCCACCTAGTAGATAATTGGCATCATAGTTAATAGGTTGTGTCTTTCAATACATCATTTCCCTGAAGCCAATGACTAGGTTATTTATTCGAGTAATGCTACTTTATTTCGTGTTGTACACATGTGTCTCTTTGCCTCACGTATCAAGATAGATTAAAATCCATGGACTACTTATCATGTTTCTTTGGTATAATCTAATTTATTTTTTTAATTCCAAAAAACTCATAAAAAGGTGAAAATATGAATATCATTCCACTTGACTGTGACCATATGATTTATTAACATGTTGATTAATGGACCCAAATATATTGAGGTACCCACCCCGCCCCATTGTCATCACTAGATGGAGTCGAATTCTTGTCCCTTCCTGTTCTTCCTTTTCCTTCTTTTTGTTCGAGTGAGAGAAAGAGACAAATGTAAGGGAATAATGGATGGGAAAGGAGATAAAAGAAAGGAAAGTGAGTGGAGTGGAGTGTACATGAGTAATTAATATGTTACCTTAACGAAAAATGGGGAATGACTGAATTCTTGTTCCTTCCTTCTTGTCTTTCAAGTAAGAGCCAGATGAGGGAGAAATTAATGGTGGGAAATTAAAGAAAGGGAGTGGATTCCCCTGCAAAGAAAGGGTTGAGACAGGGTGATCCCTTGTTCCCTTTTCTTTTTACAATCGTGATGGAAGTCTACCATACAACCCAAATGTAAAAGTATAGAATAGATATAACTCATCTAGCTTTTGTTGACGACCTCTTAAAATTTTCAAATGGATCAACATTAGCACTTAGTAAGATTTGTGAGCTGTTGTTGCAGAAGTTTTACAAGCTGTCAGGGTTGCGATTCAACCCTGACAAGTGCCAATTGTTTTGTGCTGGGGTATCAAAGCAAAAGCATGATGAATTGGTTGCTTTAACAGGATTCTTGCAGAAGGCTTTTCTACCAGTTAAGTACTTGAGGGGTTCTCCCTTATAGTAGTTAAGCTATCTGCTCAGGATTGTAAGGAATTAGTTGACAAAGTTACTAAGAGGATCGAAGGTTGGAAACCAAGATTGTTGAGCTATGTTGGCAAGATGCAATTAATAAACTCTGTGATAAGTGGATTAATGCAATATTGGACGAATATATTTTTACTGTCTATGTCAGTAATCCAGGAGGTAGAGATGAGGTGCAGTAATTTCCTATGGGGCATTGATGAAAACTCACTAAGAAGAAAGACTATGATTGGCTGGAGGAAAATTGCAGTGCCAAGAAGGGAAGGAGGACTGGGTATTAAATGCTTGAGATCCTGGAACCTAGCTTGTTCTACAAGGCACATATGGAACATTCTCAGTAGAGGAGGTTCCTGGTAGGAGCTTAGATTAGTAGATTCAGGTTAAAGGAAAAGTCTCTCTGGGAAGTAAGAGTTAGCAACTGCTCCTCGTGGATTTGGAGGAAATTATTACAGACAAGAGATAGAGTGGAAAGTTTTATTACCTGCTGTGGGAATCAAACTATTTAGAGTCAGAAGAAAATGGTGAAATATTATGTCAATGTCGTATAGGAAGATCTAAGAGTTGTGAAGCCTAAAGTGGAGTGGTATAGTTTGGTTTGGACTCAACATTTACTACCAAGACATAGTTTTTTAAGTTGGCTGGTCATCAAGAACAAAATAGTAACACATGAGTAGCTCAAAGAATGGGGGAAAGTGCAATTGATACTTGAGTTTTGTGTGGTCAAGTGTTATGGGGCAATCCAAGTACCACATCGACAATACAAGGAAAGGAACCTTTGTATATTAGTGTCCACCAAGTTCATTAGTACGAGGTCTTTTGGGGATGAACCCAAAAGTAAAACCGTGTGGGCTTGGCCCAAAGATGACAATATTGTACTAATTGATGAGACCGCCTTAGCATCCTTGATTTCTTTACCTTTTACCTTATCGAGGATCATCATGCCTTGAAATACCACATCGATGAGACCCTTCAAAGAGCACCAACGAATAGCATCTCGTAACGGCAGGAGTTCCCCAATGTAAGAATCATCCACGCCTGCATAAAGAAACCCATGCACATACACCATACCCCCTCACAACCAAGCACCACCACCCCCCCCCCCCCCGCCTCCTAATGGAAATAATTCTCAACAACCCCATCCACCGAACAGATCAAAGTTGCATATCTTCTCTACGTCCCCCCCCCCCTAATTCAAGTGAACCGGAACAGAGAGTGGCCTTGGAGGAGTAACCTGCCTCAGGCTAGTTATTTTGCTAACTTGAAGATTCGTTAGTATATACTAACTAATATCCAAAATGTATGAACTAATATCCAAGTCTGCTGAGTATCTAGATGACACATACTAGTATTCAAAAAATTACAAACTAGTATCCAGATAACAGATACCAACTAATATCCACAATCAACCAACTAGTATTCAATATGGATACTCTTATGTGTTATCTGGATACTAATTATGTGTTGTATGGATACTATTCTGTGTTGTCTAGATATTAGTACGTGAATTTGGGATAATAGTTGATTCATGATGGATATCAGTTAGCTAACTTTGAATACTAGTATGTGCTCTCTAGATACTTTAGTACTTGGATACTAGTTCATGTAATTTGGACATCGGTTAGTATCTGCTAACGAATCTTCAAGTTAGCAGATTAACTTTTCCCTCCCTATGAAGTGCTAACCATTCACATACCTATTCGTGGTATAGCCGGAGTAGGACGGAAGCCCGATACTGTTTATGGTGAAACTGGACCCAATTCCTTCCTTTTCAAATGCGTCATAAAAGCGATCAACCTCATGACCTGCTCCTCCAAAGAATCACGTTCAAGCACCCGATGAAAGAATAACGTCATATTCAAATGCTCCAGCCCCTGTTGTATCGCCCCTAGGCCACTCCCCTACCATACCTCGATTGACACCCTACAAGAAAGAAACAAATGCTCTAGTAACTCTAATGAATTCCAGCATACCGGATAGCGCAAGGGGCACTGTACCCCTCTCTCCCAGCAAGTTTTAGCCGTAGGAAGTATCCTACGAAGCAATTGCAAAAGGAATATTTTTAAGTTTGGGAGATATATTTAAACCCCACACTTGCTTCCACAAAGCCGTATCCATAAACCACACAGGCTCCCTTCGTCGGGGAAAGTTAATCTGCTAACATGAAGATTCGTTAGCAGATACTAACTGATATCTAAAATACATGAACTAATATTCAAGTACTAAAGTATCTAAAGAGCATAGACTAGTATTTAAAGTTTGTTAACTGATATCCATCATGAATCAACTAATATCCCAAATCAACAAACTAATATCTAGACAACACAGAATAGTATCCAAACAGCACATAATTAGTATCCAGATAACCCATAAGAGTATTCAGATAACACATAAGAGTATCTATATTGAATACTAGTTGGTTGCTTGTGGATATTAGTTGGTATCTGCTATCTGGATACTAGTTTGTGATGTTTTGAATACTAGTCTGTACTATCTAGATACTCAGCAGACTTGGATATTACTTCATATATTTTTTATATTATTTAGTATATATACTAAACGAATCTTCAAATTAGCAGAAGAAGTAGGCTGCCCTTCGTCTAGCTTGTAAAGCCATGGGATACCCAGAATCCGAATACAGACCATCCGGCTCCACGCTCCAAACTAGACGATCCATTAGTGGTACCCGCAACAATGGGATACTCACAATCTTTCGACGCAATTCAGGCTGGAAACATTGCTCCAAACATAGCTCGCACCATTCCCCAGTCCCGACCGAAAATGACAGTTTCCCACCCTGCAATGGCGCTTGTGGTGAAAGCAAAAACATTTTTAGTATACATGTTTAAGATTTTGAGTACTATTTCTATTATTCCTGTTTATAACACATTGGTTGTTAGCAATTTGATGTCGGTTAAATCAATAAAAGTGAAACACTATCTATATCGATTCATACTCTAGTCGATTCTAATAACATTGATCTTATATCAAGCATTACCACCATGGTATAGACTGGTAATAAATATCTCAATTTTTTTTGTTCCAATATGTATCATAGTGGATATCATTTTTGGAAAATACAATTAATCTGATTTATATATGAAAAAAATTACGACTTAAAACGAAAGACAAATAACACGTTAAAATTTATAGGAAAAATACTAAAGACCGTTCATAAATGGTGATATGACAGGTTATACATTATTATTGAATGGTTCAGAAAACCGTACCGGACGTCATACCATATTCGTTCTTGGCAATGTAGTCAAAATCGCTCTTTAAAACTCAAAAACTTCCGGTTTTACACTTCTAAGTCACCAAAATGCTTCCGTTTCCACATAAAAACTTTAGTGTATAAAGTCGGACTAAATTGCGGTTTAAAGATTAATAGATTGCACTTATAGTTCGTCAAAATGCTTTACGCTTTTACGCTTTTAGTTCACTAAATGAGTATTCTTTTCATCAAAATTAATTATAAAAAGTATATTTTAAAGGAAAATCACAAACAATGTGATATATTCTTTGTGCGGCGGTAAAAAAAAATGTTTTTTTTAGATAGATACTTTTTCACCAACCGAGTCACATGTATTTAACATATTCATACCTAATGATTTTTCACAAAGTGGTTACTTTAGATTAAAAGATACATATCAGATACTTGGATGCATTCTCAACTTCAATAGAGTAATTTAATTCACTAACTAGGTTATTTCCAAATTCATTAGCATAGAGGGGAAGAAGACTTATTGTTAAGATTTATGTTTATGAACTTATTACTAAGAGGCTATAAGTTGCCCTACTTTAGACATGAATTGCATGTATTTATTAACTTATCTAAATTCTGTGCACTCGTATTTTACATATTATATGGCGTACTTAACATATTTTTATTTATTTTACAATATGCGTAAAAAATTTACGTTTTTACGCTTTAATTCTACGCTTTACAATTTTACCCCTTTTCCGCTTCTAGGTAGAAGCACGCTTTTGACTGCATTGATTTCTGGTAGGGTATTTTATGGTTATTCACAACAAGGTTGTACACTCAGATCTGCTCGTCGCTAGAACTAATAATAATAATAATTATTATAATAATTATTATATTCCATCAGATACTCCCATCATTAATGAACAGAGTTATAGCTAAATAACTATAATGATAGATGTTAAAATATATTAGGGGGCTCCCTTGACTCAAAATTGTAGAGTGGAAGTTTCTACTCTTAGAGAAAAATAGCACAAAAGGGCATACCACAACATTGATTTGGGTTATTTAATTTGCTTAAGGTTTTGAATAGTTTAGGGTTTCCTCATATGTGAATTATGTGTTAAGGGTGCACTAAATGTGTTTACCACTAAAAAATCACTCCATACCACATTGATTATTTTCAAGGAGTGTAGTGATTTATAAGGCCAACTTAACCATAATAATTAAATTGGTTTAAATTGGGTCTAAATGATGGTATTTTGTGCTTCATGCCAGGTACCTCAACACACACTACTTGACCCACCAAACACCCATCCGTCACGTAAGAGGGGTCAACAGTGGCGGATCCAGGGGGTGGCCACCCCGGGCCCCGGCCCTGCCCTCCTCTGGATCCGTAGTTAGTATAGTCCTTATGAATTTTTCGATTTTAGGCATTCGGCTTAGTGTGATTTTATAATAAAATTTGGTATAACTTGAAAAATGATTCAGATGACTATATTCAAATCACTACTCTAAATTTAGCCTTTAAATTTTAACCCCAAAGATTATGCATATAAAAAAACAATGAAACCTAAAATTCTAAAAGTTTAAAACGTAAAAGACTAAAAGAAATATGAGGTTTGTTCCCTTGAAAACTTACTAGAGCAGTTGGTGGATGCATGGATTGACACACAATGTCAATTGATTAGTCGATTGATTTGTCTAGTGTTAATGCTGCTCGTTTCAACAGCTATTACGAAGAGAACCTTTTCAACAATGGAATATGTGAGAACTGATTTGAAACAGTGCATACTATTGGCATGGACGTAGGCTCCATTATTGATGCATCACTAAATTAAAATACCGTCGTGTACAATTTACATTGGAAAAAAACTATAATCATTATGTTTTTTTACTATTCAATTTTCGAACGAAACTCGGTCTAGTGCTCTTCTGTGTTCTGGATCCGCCGCTGGGGGTCAAGTGTCAAGCGTGTTGACACCCTTCAACATCAACCACCCAAGTGGGCACCTCGCCCCACCAGCCGCCTACCTACCTCACGGGTAATTACCCCTAGACATGATGGGGCGAAGAAAGCCAAAATTTGGCTAAGTGTTGAGACCCACAACACAAGGGGGGTCATGCATGACATCGTCCAAGGGGGGTCTCTTACGTGGGGGGTCAAGCATGACATCATCCTAGGGGGGTCGAGCACTATGCCATCTACCTACCTTGCACCAAGGGGGTCAGACATGACACCGTCCAAGGGGGTCAAGCACCGGATACCGCTAGGTCTTGCAGTTTGTCAAGACACTGCAAGCATGATGCCACCCAATGGGGGTAAGTGTGCATCCATCAACCCCCAAGCCCATTGGTGTCGAGCACTGAGACCCATAGCACAAGGGGGTCAAGCATGACATCATCCCAGGGGGGTCAAGCATGATGTCATGCTAGGGGGGTCAAGCACTATGTCGTCTACCTACCTTGAGCTAGGGTGTCAAACATGATGCCGTGCAAGGAGAGCAATCACGAGTACCCCTAGACGTGATGCGGAAAAAGAAGGTGAAAATTGGCTAAGTATGAAGATCCAACAACAAGGGGGGTCATGCATGATACCGTCCAAGGGGGTCAAGCACCGGATACCGCTAGGTCTCGTGCAAGGTCATCAAGTTTCTAAGTGGTCATCCATGTATATCATCACGTGGTAGACCAGTTTGTCAAGACACTGCAAGCATGATGCCATCCCATGGGGGTCAGTGTGCATCCATCGAGCCCAAGCCCCTGTCGAGCACGATGTCATGTCAGGGTTGTTAGCACGAGTACCACCAAGCGCACTAAGCAAGACACCTCTATGGTTACACGGCGGTTACAAGTTATGGCTATAAATAGGGGAAACGAAGACGAAGCAAAGGTTCCACAACCAAACATTTGACGCACAATGTCAAATTTTATCCTTTTCTCTGCAAATTAGCCATAGTTTTAGTTTTTTGAGCTCTCACTGAACCTCCATAGGAGTAGAGTAACGTAACCTAGCTTGTTCCCAAAAAACCATCAAACACCCTCGTTTGAACATTGTTCGGAGAGGTATGAACCGTGTTGATTGTCGTTGTTCAAGAAGTCAAGGTGCATTCATTGCGTTCAAACACAAATTTTTCCTTGCCGGAAAACAAATTGGCACACCTGGGGGGACACTGTGTATTTGATATTATGGCTCCACGACTGAGAGAACAAGAATGTAATCTTTCACCTGGATTGATAAGAGAGCTAGTGGCTAGGTATGATTTTGGCCAATTAGTAAAAAGTGACGCCGGAAACAATGGTGGGGCAAGTGGTCAGCCTTCTCCGACGCCATGTTTAGGTGTAACCACCACCACTTTGTCTCTTTACCAGTCACTGGTGGTAGAAATGCAATTAATGGAGGAGACTATGGTGGGAAACACAAAACAAATTGTATCTCAACTTGATTGTTTCCATACTCGTCTAAATCGACGTTTGGATCAACTGGATGAGATTTGCGAGATAAATGAAAATAATTGTAAGTTTCTCCAACTTTTGATGAAACCAGTTTTGAGATCAAAGGTTTTGGCTAAAGATGGTGTAGATCGACCATCAAACGTTGCTACCGAGGATACGAGAATTCTAGACTCTGGTGGTCGGACTACTCAGCCACGGTCAGAGAATTCATCGTCTCTGGTGACAAGTCAACCACCTCTTGAACGTGGTGGTTGTGGCGAGAATCTCGCTCCCACGTTCACCACTCACGTAAAGAAATTGTCTATACAGACAATTACTTTAGGAACTGCCTCAGAGGCTAGACCATGCCTTAATTGGAAAGTTGGTGCAAGGTCAATCACTACAAATGTGTTCCCACAAGCTTGTACAGCACCACTGCTATCCACGCCTATCAAGCCTGGTGGATGCAAACCGCAAGGGGGGCAAGCAGAGGGGTATGAAAGCCTACCACCTGACAAGTTGAAGGTGAAATATCAGGGTGGGGGCATGTTGACGTCAAGTAGGGGTGGGCATTCGGTCAGTTCAGTTTCGACCGAACCAAAATTATGAATACAGGGTCTCCAAATTCTCCCAAACCTCAAATCGAATTCGAACCGAATTATAATTTGGTTCGGTCGGTTTAAACCAAATTATAATTCGGTTCGGTTCGGTTTTTCACACAAAACTGAATTTGTGAAGCTACTTATATTTTCTCACTTTTAAATTATTTTTAACCCCTAATATAAACAATAAATATCAATTATATGCAACATCAATAATAAAATCAAACTTTTCAACACATAAGTCATAAAACATTTCAAATATTTAAGTCTAAAAACAACTACAAACACAAAAATCCACTATTTCGGTTTTTCGGTCGGAAATTCGGTTCGGTTGAAAGAACCCTGGTTTCCAAACTATCCATATTTTCCTTCCGAATTCCGAACCGAATAGCATTAATTCTGTTTCGGTTCGGTTTAATTAGGTTTCGGTTTGGTTCGGGTTTACCAAACCGTTTGCCCACCCCTAACGTCAAGGAAAGTGGAAAAAGAACTTCGTTTAAGGACTCACCACATTTTTCATCTAAGTGTGGCAAGAATGGCATGTCTCTATCTCCATGCAGCGGACAGGGGGGGCATGCCATCAAACATGATGAATGGAGTGAGTGGCAAGTCTAAGCAGGTGTTGAATACACATACCACCAATGATTTTCATAATTTTAACAGCGTGTCAAAGAGTGGACACGGAGGCAAGGCCCCTTGTAGCATGCCACCCATGAATGGTCGACAAATGGGCATGTCACCAACCACAAACAATAGACAGATAAACATACCGAAGAAGCCACAACATGAAACCACAACCAGTAAGTTAATAAGTGTGCCTAATATGCTACAACATGAAGCCACACATGCTTTTAGTAAGCATGCTAATATGGCTAAGTCTGGCAATGGAGGCGCGTCAACAACCATGAGCAAGGGTATGTGTAGGAAACATAAATATTAGGGTTAGTAGGGGGTTAGGCAGCCGGTTGTGGCATAGTAGAGTTAGGATTCTCGTTAGGGTTTTGGGTTTATTTTCTATAAATATGTACTTTGGGTTTACGTCATAATCAGTCAAGAATAATATTACAGAAAGTATCCCTCTCAAATCTCGTCCTTCTCTTCCCTAAAGGCCGTCGGCCATTCTTCTATCTCAACCCCAATTCTGTTCTTCAATCCCTAATCCCCAATTCTCATCTAAATCCCTAAATCTCAAACCCTAAATCCCAATCTCACGAGTGCCAAAGATCAGTCCCTAGAATCCCTAGAAGCGGGGTTCTTTCAGTGGTATCAGAGCCCGGTTGTGACACTCGTACCATGGGTTCGACCAACTTCGATCTCTTGATCGAAGAACTCACAAAGATTCTTAAGATGAAGTTGGAATCTGCCGGAAACACTTGCCGACCGAGGGCGGAGCAGGAGCCACGCAGGATTTCACTAGGTTTGGGCTTTGCTCGTCTGAAGAGCTGCTCCTCACCAGAGGCCGGAACGGAGAAAGAGATGAAAGAGCTTGAGGATAGGCCGCCATTCAAGAACGAGACAGAGGAGTCGTCAGACACGGTGGCGGAGCAAAAGAGAATGGCCGTCGGGTCGAGATTGCCTCCGCGCCGCGAGATTGAAGTCTCGTGGGAGAGGAGAATTGCGCGAGGGAAGTCGCGATCCTTGGCGGTTGCTTTCTTGGCGAGGTCGGAAGGGAAAGGGGAGTAGCGGGCGAAGTCAAACGGGGAGGAGGAGCTGAAGACTGCTGTCGCAGCTTCGAGATCGATCTCCACCCACTTGGCAGATTGGGTGTCGCCGAATAATAAGACTGAGGAGGAGTTATCGACGTTGGGTGATTGGGTTGCCTCGCCGGAGTCGGAGGTCGAGAAGAAGGAGCTGCCGACAACGGAGGAGATGCGGGCGGCGCTCTCTGACGGACGGTCGCGTAGCGGTGGCGAGGAAAAGCTCATGGTGCTGGAGGAAAAAGCACCGACCAGCAAGCCCAAGGAGGAACCAACGTTGGTGGCCCTGGCGGAAGCTTCGCTTGTCGCCGACGTAGACGAAGAGGAAACCAAGGAATTGGAGGATGAAAAAGAAACCGAAATGCCAATAAAAGAAGAGTCATCACTGCTGCCCGAAAATGTTAACCAGCAACAAGAGAAAGATCAATCCACTGGATTGTTGTGTAGTTGGGGTGACGTGTCGTGGGGAGCTTCCAATTCAATTCTTCCTTGGGTGGGCTTTATTCGTGGTCAGGAACAGGAAGGTGTTTTGGGGAGCTATGCAGTACACTTTCTTTGCATATGGCATTCTTATACACCAGGGCAAGTGCTTAATGTTGGTGATGGGAACTTGGATGACAAACAGGTGATGTGCCAAATAGGAGTATTTGATTCAACCGTCAATGGTGGGATGTTGGCAGGAGATGTTGGTGCTAGAAGTCTGGTTCGAGCACTTGGACGAAATTGGAGGAAGAGGAAACACGAGCAAGGACATAATTAAATTTGACTACAACCTTGAGGGCAAGGTTGTTTTCAAGCGGTGGGGATTGTAGGAAACATAAATATTAGGGTTAGTAGGGGGTTAGGCGGCCGGTTGTGGCATAGTAGAGTTAGGATTCTCGTTAGGGTTTTGGGTTTATTTTCTATAAATATGTACTTTGGGTTTACGTCATAATCAGTCAAGAATAATATTACAGAAAGTATCCCTCAAACCCTAGTCTCTAATCCCTCTCAAATCTCGTCCTTCTCTTCCCTAAAGGTCGTCGGCCATTCTTCTATCTCAACCCCAATTCTATTCTTCAATCCCTAATCCCCAATTCTCATCTAAATCCCTAAATCTCAAACCCTAAATCCCAATCTCACGAGTGTCGAAGATCAGTCCCTAGAATCCCTAGAAGCGGGGTTCTTTCAGTATGAGGGGCATGTATCCAACCAATGGACAGGGGGCATGTCATCGAAAGTGAAGAAACGAGTGGGGGCAAGTCTAGTGGTGTTCATTGCACTCAAGCCCTCTATGATTTTCACCATCACGAGAGTGTGTTAATGGATGGACAAAGAAGCAAGTCCATGCTTAAAAGCCCTCATGGCATGCCAAACATGAATGGCAGACAAGGGGACATGAATAAGACATCTCGGCATACAATAACCAAACATGGTCATACAAAGAACCAGAAGTCGTTATGTGCTACGTGTAGAAGTCAGCAAGGCGTAAGGGTTGAACATGGCCATGTTGGACACAAGGGTGGTCATCGATTCGTTGAGTCCAACCACTCCTCTTCCCAACTATATGGGATGAACAAGCATGGCTGCGGTGAACCAAGGAATATTAAAACTCGTGGTCTCTTTCATGAGCCCAATGAGTTAAGAATACCTAGTGTATCACCAGAAACGAGAGAAGCACATCAGGTTCAACATCAACCCAACATGTCTAGTAAGGTGGCTAAGGCAGAGGATCGGGAGACCCCCTACAAGGCCACCAAGGTAAGACAAGTGGACCGGGCACAATCCGTGGTTGAGTTGGGAAATTCAAAACCAACTGATAAGGAGCCATCTCTTTCTAAGGAGAGTAAACATGTGGTCTATGGATGGCTTGTCTGGTTTAATCCATGGACTTGGCAGTGTGTATACACCTTTGGCACGTTTGTGGTGGCCAAAGGGTATGGAGAAAAGTGATGCATGTCACTCTTTGCTATATTAAAATAAATAAATACTAGTAAAATAAGAGAAAAAAAGCCAATCATTGCTATAAAACAAAGAAATTAGAGTTGTAACACTTGCGATGTGAAGACTTTGTCATGACTGGTAAACAACGAGTCAGGTGGTTGGGTCTATGGAGCCCCTTACGCTCGTTTGAGTACATCATGTCACTTCATGGCATGAGTAGCTGACTAGCTGTCCGTCATGGATCATGTAACTTCCATGCCACCTGTCTAAGGATGCATACTTGTTGAAAGATGATCGGGTGCGACATGATCGGTTGATCAATGCAAGTATCTCAAGCCTTATGTCCTTTTTTCTTTGGGGCAAGGCGGTTACAAGTTATGGCTATAAATAGGGGAAACGAAGACGAATCAAAGGTTCCACAACCAAACATTTGACGCACAATGTCAAACTTTATTCTTTTCTCTGCAAATTAGCCATAGTTTTAGTTTTTGGAGCTCTCAATGAACCTCCATAGGAGTCGAGTAACGTAACCTAGCTTGTTCCCAAAAAACCATAAAAAACATCAAACACTCTCGTTCGAACATTGTTCGGAGAGCTGTGAACCGTGTTGATTGTCGTTGTTCAAAAAGTCAATGTGCATTCATTGCGTTCAAACACAAGTTTTTCCTCGCCGGAAAATAAAATGGATGAATTGAAAGATGTTACAACGTACTCGTCTCTAACACATAAAAACAAAGACTTATAGGCTATAGCAACCATGTGGCCATGACAAGACCGAACATACTACACACAAATTTCACATCGCGTTTACTTTATTAGATCCAATCCCACACCCCCATCAACTTGAATCCAAAACGCATCAAAACGAGACGGACAAGCCGAGTGCTTTGGACAACTGCGACACGAAATCAGAAAGTGTCGGCCACCCGCTCGCCGTGACAAGCTTGCCGTGGGTCACGCACCCTTCCCCCTCCGTCACCTCGCCGCCGGCCACCTTGACGAGCACCTTCGTGCCGTGGTCGACGGCGCACCTCTTCCCCTTCAGGACCCGCGCCGCGGCCAGGAGCAGTTTCCCCTGTCCGACGGCGCCGATCACCTTGCCCTTGTCAGAGAACTCCTTCACCAGAGCAATCACCTTGTCGTTGGAGACCAGGAGCTCCGGACCCCGCCCGCCGGGCAGCACGAGGCAGTCGTAGTCGTCGACGGAGATGTCGTCCCAGTTGGCAGTGGCGACGAAGTTGTGGCCGCGCTTCTCGCTGCAGATTTGGGCTCCCTCGTCGTCGTGGATTGCGGTGGGGCAACTCTTCCCTCTTTTCTTTGTTGGGCTCACTGCGTCCACTTTGCAACCCAGTCCTTGCAGCGCCCGGAAAGGCACGTTTGCTTCGTAGTCTTCTACATAATCCTGTTTTTAGCCACAAAATCAATTAATTGACAGTATTAATCTATGACTTGAATCGAATTATTTGACTATTACTATAATATTATATATCTTCTCGAATTATAGTGAAACTTGCTTTTTCCTACCATTCACTAGCTAGCACATATTGTGTTTGGTGAACAGAATTGAGTTGAGTTGGAACTTACAGCGAAGACGACGAGTACAGAATTGGGCTTGGTAGGCCCAGCGATTTTGGCCCCGATGGATTCCAGCACAACCTTCATGTACTCCCCATGAGCCGGCCACCCAATTGAGCTAATGATGTTGCCGTCGGTAAGGCAGGCGGTGATGTCGAGCACCGACTGAATCCCAGGCTGCTCCCACCAGATCCCGCCGGCGAGCTCGATCACCGGCTTCAAGCTAGTGAAGGCGGTGCACTTCTTCCCTTCCAGCAGCCCCGCCGCGGCCAACATGATCTGGCTGTGGCAGCTGGTGACAACCGGCTTCCCGGCCTCCGCAAACCTCCTCACCAGAGCCACCACCTTGTCGTCGGCGCTCAGGAGCTCCGTGAACCTGCCGCCGGGGATCAGGAGGCAGTCGTAGGAGTCGGCCTTCACTTGCTCGTAGTTGGCGTTCAGTGTGAAGAAATGCCCCTGCAGCTCTGTGTAAAGCTGCATACAGTCAAAATTCGATTACTACTGATCAACCTTTCGATTATTGGAATTTGGAAGTGGGTGATTCATGGTTGGTGGTGAATAGTGTGATTGATTAATTACCTCGAAGCCCATAAAGTCATGGACGGCGGTGAAGCATCGGTGGCCGGGGAGTTTGCCAGGGGAGACGCAGTCGACGCGGACGCCGAAGGCTCCAAGGATATAGAATGGGACGGCGACCTCGTAGTCTTCCATGTAGTCGCCGCATAGTACGAGAACTGATTTTTGAGCCAGGGAACCCATTGGAGCTGTTTCCTTGTTTATACGGCTGGTTTCTATACTCTAGCTCTCTCGAGTCTGGTCTTGAGCCCACTGGGTTTAGTGTGCGAAGGGGAGTGAAGGTGGTTGATTATATATAGAGTGCAGAAACAGAGGATCTACGGGTGCCCACTAACTGGAATGATGGGAAGTGAAGGAATAATTGAGGGTCAGCGTCAATTGCACAGGGGAAGGATGGGTTACTGCATTATTGCCTTATTGGTAGGATATTAGCTCTTCAAGACTGGCAGTGGGCAGAGAGCGGGGACGTGGGACTCGTGTGCAAATTGCAGTATGCAGGTGTCATCTAACTTGTTTGTCTGTATCCGAAACAACTGAAGTAAAGCACTAACAAAACCCACCATAACGTTCACGTTTCAGAACCAGAGGTAGGTGAAGAAAATAGAAAGCCTGGAACGAGCCTATCTATGATGCGGCACCTCAATCCCCCATATGATTTCACAATATGACATATTGTCCCTGTGAAAACTGAACAAAGAAACTACAGGTTCTGGCTAAAAGAATTAGGGGATACAGATACTAAGATGCTCAATCGTTAATAAACGATCGAAATAAGAAGACAAAGTAAAGTACATGAAATGACCGGTTCGTATACTACGCAACTGATCTACTGCCTACTGGTCCAAGTGATACAATTGCTGCTGAAGAGCAAAGAATCCAGCAGCAACCCAACCCCATTGCCACTTCTCTCTCTCACTCTCTATGTATTCTTGTTATACCATTCGGGAACTCCCCACAAAAAAGAAGAACAAATGAATGGCGAGCTTCATATGCTACAGAAAAGAACAACAACAACGCAAAGAGATCACCCAATTTTTTGGGTTGAACAACAAAAAGTAGGGCAAGGCATCAGGTCATGGTAGACGCTAATATGTTTCGGACTTTCAGGCCACGTACCTAGAGCACGCCAACTGCCTCAGTCTGTTCTTGATCTGTTGGTGCCGTTTTTCGTGGTGTTGTATACTGGCAATAGCCATCTTGACCCATGTTTCCTTCGGCCATAACACCGCCAATATAGCAGCAGAATCGCAACTATCAAAACCACGGGTATCGCCCATCTGTAGGGGGAAAAGATTGAGAAATCAATGGAGTTCAATGAAATAAAGAAGTGACAGTGAAGTGCAGATTTAACAAGGGTAGGAGATAGATGAGGGTACCTATCTAAATCAAGGACAGGGCTGTAAACGACTGTCTCCCAGGTTGCTACTATGAAATGCCAGACCGGGTTGTAATAAAGCGACTCAGCTGACCAAAACATTCTAGTGTATGTCTCTAGGAAGATGAAGAGTATCCACGCGCTGATCTCGATCAAAATGAACTTTATAATGAAACGGCCTAATACCACCATCACAAGGGAGAAAGTCACCAACCAGTTGAACAGCCTGTGGTTGTATTCCTTTATAAATTGGGATTTCGATTTCCCCATCATCTGTGAAAATTGATTACATACGTCCAACGGTTCAGGGTTTCTATTGTTATCCATAATAAAAGCACCAATTAAACGAATTAAGTGAATAAGGATGCCTTACCTTCATCATGCGGTTCTCGTATACTGCTTTTGAAGGCCCGACACACTCCTGCTCAAAACTCCGGTTGCATTGCAAGAACCCAGCATTGAATTTTGCCATGGAAGGAAGTCTTAGGACTTGAAGCTGGTCCATTTTGTCCTCGCACCTAGAGTATAGCGCCTCGCAGAGTTTTGCAGATTGATACTCATTTGCCATAATGATGTGCTTGAAAACCTACAAGTAACTCGAGAAAATTAGGGAAGAAAAATCGTATCCAGAATATTCAGATACTTTTACGGCCCTATACTGAAATTCAAGACCAAGTGGGATTCAGTCTCAAGGCTACAAGTACTTAGACAGTTGCAGGCATCACCATACCAAACAGCTCAGTGCTAAATGCACCACACCAAAAATCAACAGGCCATCCACATTTTGATTAATTAAAGATGCAAAAGTGAACGTGATTTGACTTTCACTGAATATCTAATCAACCAGTAGTGAAAGAAAGTGGATATGCATGGATTGCTTGGATGTTCTTGCATATGATCTGAAAGCCCACGGATTCAGTCAGTCCAGTTCAACGGTTTTAGAGAGTGGGGGCCTCTTATCTCAAGATTCAAAATTGTGGAAGGCATTTAGATTTTTATAATTAAGAGAAAAGATGAGAGAGTTCCAGCCACTGGGACCATATTGAGTTCAACATTATAACCAGTTTTATAAAAGATGAGTGAATCGCAGACTAGCACATAAGACTTTCACATTCTTTCACCTGCACCTAATTAAAGGACACGGACAGACCAAAACCGTTTTTCTTTTAGCCACACATAACACAAAAAATTTATTAATTAGCAGCAAAGGAAACATACTAGCAAGATTGCTGATTGTATTAGTAGTACCTTATCAATTTCTTCATCCAGTTGCATGACAGATCTCTTTGCATGATGACGGCCAAAATGTTGTTCATCAAATACTTTCATCGCTGTTTCCCTTGACCTTCCATGGGCATCTTGCACAGATTCCTCTGTCAGTGGTAGATTTAATTTAGTCATGCCTTCACTGTATATTTTCAAACATCTCTCGAGGATAGCCTTGTTGAAAACCTCCACAAGAGATCCAGTTGATGGTATTTCTCCTTTATTCAAGGCTTCAAGAATCTGAATAGTGCAAGTCAGGGGTGGGTACAATCAATGTGGCAACTAGCAAAGCAAGACATTTTAGAAACTAGCATGCTCTATTTATATTACCTGCTCAAGGAATGCTACAAACTCCTCCCCGTTCATGGATTTACCCTGCACAATCTTTGGACGAATGATACTGGAAACAAGATCTTTCAATTTTTCCCTTCTTGAGACATACAATTGCTCAAGCTCACCGTCTTTCATTTCACAAAGCTTTGTCCGGTGGAGGTGAGGCTGTCAATTTTCGTTTGGCAGTGTTAAGAGAGGCACTAGAAAGATAAACTAATCCCTCAAGCACTCCCCAAAACAGTGAAGGTAAAAAGTCAACTGCAATAAGTAGTGAGTGACCCATACTTGTGGCAAGCTAAAAGCTGTGCTGTTGTCGCCCATTATAGCCAATGATTCTCGGATCTGATTAACCTGGTGACATCCAAAAGCACAATACTATTTTAATCTAGGAAGGCAGGGAGCTCTCTGATAATAATAATAATAATAATAATAAAACAAGCTAAATGGAAGGGGGAAAAAGAATCAATACCTGATCAATATTTCTGTCTCCTGCAATTAGAATAACATCCCATTTCCACAATCATAACTTTTCCAAAATGAAGTGAATGCACTTAAAATAAAAATTCTACTCACTGGAGTAAACTAACCATCTTGATTGGGCACACGTCGAAGGGCTTCATTCACCATCTCCTGCACTGATTTCCCCTCTGAAAAATAACAGAAGGTTAAAAAAGAAAAATGAATCATGCCCCGCTTAAGTGCAGGCTACAGATGCAAGTGATACTATAGTGGTCTAAACTTCACAATTTCTACTTCTACTAGCCTATAGAAGATTCATCAAATCTTGAGTATTGCTAGAAAGAAGCAAAAACAGCTTACAGTGAAACCTACTCAAACATTCTACCGAAGCATTAGTGAACTTACGAAGAAAATCTCGTTGGATAAGCCAAAGAAGTTTCGAAGGTTCAAAGGCAACATCTTCACCCTGTTAGGAAATTGAAGAGACGGAGTGCCATCAACTACAGATGCACCATAAATTATTGTAAAGAGATGCACCATGGTCATCAGCCAAGAGACCAAGAACATTACCTTCACTCTATTCTCCGTGAAGATAAGCCAGCCAACCAATAGAATAACCTCATGTTAGTTATACATAAATGACAGCCACATTTACAAAGTAATTCACATACTGCTTCACCATGTGAGTAGAAAAGTGCAAACCTTCCATAGAATTCTTCAGCAAGTTCAACAGCAAACGACAGGCGAGAAATATCAGCCTCGCGGATCTGGCACAAAGACCCACGATCATTCATAAGAATTGGTAGAAGTAATATGATGAGAAAGGTCAAAGACTACAATAATAATAAAAACTCAAAAAGTGTTAAGCTATGGGGTCACGCAAAAAAAAGGTTTGTGCTTGTTTTCTCTACTAAGTTGGCCTCTGAAACCTGGTCTGTTTCTTATAAACGATAGATGAAACTTTGACAAGCCTCTAAAACTTAAGAAGTAAAAGTACAGCAAGCAAATTAAGATAGACCAGACAAATTGTCTAAAATATTAAATCTAAAGATCGCATATAAAATCTAAAGCCATATGGGACTCATTGAACAGGTTGGACCCTCAGTTAATGAATAGGACATTTTTATTTCTGTCCAATTTTTGCCACTCATTTCTACCAAGCAGCTTCATTTGGTGGATCCCAATAGTATACACATCTTAGCCAATACAGCATACTCACCTTTATATTTGTTAATAAAGACTTACATTTCAATTCATTGACTCAACTTTTTCTATACCTATACGAGGCACTCTTCTCCTCGTTCTCCTAAAACTTAAAGTTTTGCTCCTGAAATGTTATACTAGATGAAACACAGCCTGATCGAGCGCCCTTGGTTCCTTGCATATATGGTTACAACTTGCACAGGTAATACAACAAACTCTTTCCATGTTTCTAAAAGAACTCCAAACTCGAGGACTTGAGAGTTAAACACGAAACCTTCCCTTTCTGTTTCAAGATACCCAAGGGTTTCCATTAGAGGATAGCCCTGCGTTTGGGAAGGAGAATGAGGGGAGCTCAGAGGAGGCGGCTATCGCTAACTTCTGTGCATTTCCTTGGCTTGGAAAATTCAGAACAGGGACAAGGGGTTTGATTATAAAGGGATCTATACTGTTTAAGATGAATCACTAATTAGGAAGTAAGGCATCCAACTTTTGAAAATTGACGATAATTGTAAAACGCTTGTTATTGGATCCTAGAATTATACAGTATTTCAATGTTATGTGACAATTGATCCTCATGAAAGCCTATGCATAACTGATTTTGCATGATAAAGACCTAACCTCTACCACACTGATGATACCGTGAATTTTCTAAACTTAAGAACTTCCATCAAGTGCTGATCCAGTGGACCATAAATCGTCCATATAATATCAAACTTCAATCATTAATGACTCTAAATGAAAGCAACCTTCAATTATTAACAGCTTAGCCTCCAAAAGAAGAAAAATAATCTAGGACACAACGAGATCCTAAGACAACATATTTGTAAAGCCAACAAACCAGACTTTACTCAGTCGACAATCTTATTCATATTAAACACAGCAGAAAAAGGCACTAACCGTTTCTGGAAGATTATAAATAAGCACGGAACTCAAGACTGTTGCAAGAGCAAATATCCTGAAAAAATAAATGTCAGTTGGCCATGCACAGCTCAAAATCACCATGGACAAGTTGCAAACTGGGCAGCCATTCAATTTACCTATCATCATAGACGTTTGACTTGCCAACACTTTCAAAACCTTCAGTATCTAGGTAAAAGACAGATGTTTTTACTCCATTGATGTCTAACTCTACGGGGGTTCCCCATACCCAAATTCCTGATGAAAAATAAATATAAACAAATTACATAAAACAGGTGAAGAACATTTTAAGTGTCTCAATTTTTCTAACTCATGGTACCTTTTGTTTTGGTATCACGCATATGTCCAACACCAAATCCTGAAGGTAAAATATAACTGTAATGTCAATTGAATGTATCTCTCTTTTCCCTACTTTAAATACAAGAACTCCAATATAAGAGTAAAATCATATTCGATAATCTCACCTTCATCACAAGAAAGGGAAAGAAGCTGATTAAGCAAAAATGATTTTCCAGAGCGATATGGACCAATAACCTAAATAGCCAACAATTAAGGTATTAGTCAGGAAAAAAATGCAAAATTGTTGCATGATATTTACAATATTGTAAACAAGACGAATTGAAAATTGTCGTATAGCGTTCCATAGAACTGGAACTGTAAGGATTTCTTTCTTCCATGAAGGCTTATAGAAGGGTAAGAGGAATGGTAATGAGCTACAGCCCATTGGAATTGTTGGGGAATTCAATAATAAACTCAGAAGATCCCACAGTTGCACTGAGATGCTAGTTCCACAATTCTAGAACCCAGGATCAAGTCATGAAGTTCCCTTTCTGAAAGAACTGTATACTCACATGCCAATAGGTATAATTATTGTTCAAAAGCTACAAAGAACAAAGAATTGAGCCATGTTGATACACTGTTATATGATATCTTCAGTAGCAGTACTCAGAAGTCTTATGATAAAAACATGGAGATTAGTGAGATACGAGGGAAGCAAATTCTAAGCCATACAGCAACAGCAGCAATTGGGTTTTCAATTCTTCTGATAGCTTCCAAGCCTTCACGTGAAAGACGAAGTTTTGTATGTCCTGGATCAGGTTCAACTATGGGAAACCTGCATATGCAAAGAGAACAATCAAATCACACATATTATTTGTTTCTCCAGCCTATCAAGAGCTCACAAATGGAACTGTAGATTATCAAGTCAGTATCACTTTTCAGTATATCTTGTGAGAAAAGGGACTACTAGTGAAAATGACATATATCTCATCTCTACTCCCCAAAATATAAAATGGCTCAAAATTACTGTGAACTGAACCACAGAATTGAAGCAACAAACAGAGAATATCACAAATGAAAAATTCGAGAAAGAGATGGAATTGAAGTACATTTCCAGCATAATATCATACAAATGAGGTAGTTGTTGCTTCAGGCTCACAGTTTTTGCCTTGAAAATGGCTAACAATGTGTGTTCCTAAGAAGTCTGACGCCCCCACGAGTCAGGGAGAAGCAACAAAATTTCTAAGTGACAATATGCAGAGACTTATCCAGTGATCCACCTAACTTAAATAGGAATTTCAAAGACCCTCAACAACTGGCCAACTAACAAAGCTACAGACAAACTAAAAAATGCCACCTATCTTATCGAAGAGCATATCTCACTTTCTCAATCAAGATTGGTCTCTTCATGTCCAGTTAACACAAAAATTGCTCGACTTCAGCTGCATCGCATTGCTCCAATACACACCCGAACTAAAAGCAATACCCACCAAGCACCAAACCCACGACTTCATATTTCTTTCCACGCTAATTTAACAATTATGGCTCTGGCAGCTAGTTGCAGTACAAAAACACAGCTAGAACCTGGAAAAAATTCGAACTGTATTACTAATTCTACGAGTCACAACTAACAACTGCCCTAAAGTCTACCAGATCAAGCTTCACATCCAAGTGGCAACCGTAAATAACCACCGACAATGTGTCTATATTCAGCGCAAAAAGTCGATAAACTCCCCCGCCCCCACAATACCGCAAACAAACGCCATCGAGAAGGAAGTAAGCATTCAGGAAAAACTGCTGTCTCCACATTCTGCATAGAACCAAGATTTTCGAAAAAGAAAACAAATTCAAACAGCTAACATGTAGTTGGCGAGAGTCAACGTACGCCTGGTGGAAATCGTCAATCGCACGAGACGGAGATGCGAAGAGGCATAGGAGAAGGAGAGGGAGCGAAGCAATCAAATTCCGGCGAGAAGTCGTCATCTCGATTTAGAATGAGGATGGCGCCGGCCGGAGATCGTGGCGGAGAATGCAGCGGTGGGTTTTACATTAAGGAAGCGGAAGACGGTGCATGAGCCAGAGGGGTGAAGGATTGTTGAACCCAATGGGGGAATGACGCCGGGATCTGTTGATGGAGGAGAAAGAAGGGTGGACGTTGTTAAGAATCGCGCATCCACATGGAGGAATGAAATGAAGAGGGAGATGGTTTTTCGCATCTACATGAAGAGGAGAGGAGTGCAGGGGAAGCTGTTTTGTTCCCAGTAGCAGAGGATTGAAGCGCCACGCATCGGGAAGAGGTGGAAGAAAACTGTGACTCTCTCATTTTTTATTCATTTTTTTTCGTTGAATCTCATTTTTTATTCTTCTCTAACATTTTACTAGATCTTTCACAAAAATACATTTCTACAAATAACCTTTTAATGTTATGATCAAGGTTGAACCTCTACCACTATGTTTGGGAAGGGGTGCAAATGAAAGGGGTGCAAGTTTGGAGGGGTAAACACAAGTTCCAAGGTGTTTACCCCCGTTTGGTTATTTTGTAACAGTAGGGGGGTGCAAAACGTGAGCGTAAATTCACTGTTTCGGCTTACCCCCAAATTGGGGTGCAAGGAAAGGAAGGAAGGGAGGGGGAAGGAGGAGGAGGGGAATTATGAATTTTTAATTAGATTATAATTACATAATAATTAATATTATTAATTTTTTCTTATATCTATATTAGTGTAGAAGTTGTTTGGGGTTGACCGTTTGACTAAGAGAGCAAGTTTGTCAATGTTCGCCTCGTCAAATCGATATCTCTTAGTTGACCCGAATTTGCATTGAAAATTAGAGATAAGAAGCATTTGTTGAAAAGATAGAGAGGAACAGTTTAGTTAACTCGATTTACTTTAATAAGTAGTTAAAACTTACAGATTCGAACGTGTTTGACTAAGTTTGACCATATTCAATTTAAAGTTAGGCACGAGAACCCCCTTAGGATGACCAGTTACGAGTTGGATTTCGAGTTTCGAGGTTGCTCGACCAATGATTATTATTGTTGTTATAAATAATTATATTTGAGCATTATTATATAATAATTATTTTTATTAAAATTATTTTTATTTATTATTTTTATTATTATATATTGAATGTTCATGTTATTATTTTGTGATAATATTTTATAAATTGATAAATCTATTTTATAATAATATAATTACTTACTTTTTACTCTATTTGCACCCCCTACTTTTTCATCCAAACAACAATTTACCCCTCCACTTACACCCTCCACCAAGTTGCACCCCCCAACAATTTACCCCTCAACTTGTACCCCCTCGAACTTGCACCCCCCTTGTTGCCAAACATAGTGGTACCGGTCGGTCTCTGAATCGGACTTCAAAATAGTTTCTGACTTTCCAACTTGGAATATCATTTAAGTTTGACAATTGGGACAACTATGTCGCTTAAATTAGAATACTTCGAATATCACTTAAATTTGAGAATTTGGACAAATATATCACTTAAATTAGAATAAAACGTCGTATACCACTTATGTTCTTGAAATAGACATCCGTCCAGATGACTAACGGTAGAAATAAAAATAAAATTCTTGTCATATCAGAGTTGAATGTGGGTCTCAAACATGTTGAGTCACTATTTGTGTCTGATGCTGCAACTCCTTCCCAAATTTCCTTCCGCCACCACACTCTTTCTCGAAACTCCCCTCAAAAGCTGTAACTGCTTCATCGAACCGACTCAAATGGAAGCAAATTTTTGCTGCCTCCAAAAATTCACTACTCTTTCTCATTCCCTCTCAGAACCACCGCTAACAAATCCTTCAATGAACCCTGCTTTCGGGCTCACCATTAGGTGCTCCTTCTCGACGAAGCATCTAAACTCCTCGAAAGACACTAGCATGCCCCAACAGGCTCGAGCATCGCGATTGCAAAGACCAAGAATGAAAAAAAGACCTCATTCGAGAGATTATGCAACTTCGTCGTTAAGGCATCTCAAGCGCTTAAGAAGCTAACGGTCCCTACGATTCTCGTAATCGCGCTGGTGACGTACGACCGCACCGCGCCTCCTCATTCGATGCCTCTGGTCAAAGGATGGATTGCATGTTTTTCTCCCGTTTCTCTTCCTCGTAATCGAGGAGTTAATTTGTGAATCACAACTTGAGCTCGACGATGGAGGAAATTATGATGCGCTAGCAATCGGGGTTGGAGTCAATGTTGGCTCTGGTTTGTTTGTAATGCTAATTGGTTTCACAACCTTTGTGCTTTCATTGGTCTCTGGGTTTCTTCCTTTCTTCCCGATCAGGATGAAGGGGGAATTCACTGTGTTCCGAATTTGGGCAGGGAAGAAAAGAACCCTAAAATTGGTTGAAGAAGAAGTTGAATTGGGGCAGAGTGGGTTTTTTAAATTTCTTCCTTGGGGAATTTCTGCAGGCGACGACATAGTAGTGTGGTATCGGGGCAAAGTGATGGGAAAGGGAAATGCATAACCAGTAAAACTTGTTTTTTTATTTGATTGTTCTTTTTCTTTTTTTATTTGGATTCTTTTGCAGTAGGGGATAGAAAAATGTGGCTCAGCATCACAGTAAGTGTTGAGTTGTCAAATAAACATTTTTTTTATTAGATCTGTTAGTCAATTGGACGAAAAATTGGACGAAGGCCCATTTCTATGACATAAGTATACCCGACGCCCTATTCTAATTTAAGTGGTATAACTCTCCCAATTGTCAAACTTAAGTGGTACCTAAGATATTTTACCCTAGTTTCCAAATAGTCAATAGTCTGACCGCTAGAAAAAGTGAAAGGAGGAAGCGAAGGGAAAGGGGAGAGAGGGAGAAGAAGAGAAAGAGATGAAGGGGAGAGACCGAGAGAGTTCAGAGGAATGCTAGATGGGTCATGGGGTTTTTGTATATTCTTTTAGTGGAATGTTGGTTTTTATAGATACATGTGAGGTAAAATTTATTTCAGTTATTAAAATTTGAAATTATTACTTTATTTGTATAATATTTAGAAAATGTATAGAACAATTCAAACAGGTTGGACTCCGATCAGAACATTAAATCTCAAATCACTTGTTTTACCGGCTCAATAACTTAAACCGGTTTGAAAACCTTGGTTGTGACAACAATACATTTTTTTCATAATCACAAATTTAAACATTTCATCTATAAAATCAGTCAATTTTAATGGACTTGTTTGCAACAACCAAAATTAAAAGACTTGTTAAAAATATTGACTTTTTTTTCGAAACATGTAATTTCATTAGTCAGTAGAGGTTGTTACATGCCTACATCGTTTAGCTTTAGTTGTTCAAACAAATAGATTGGTGATCTATTTGTTTGAGCCATAATATTAGCAGGTGATGTGCAGACAAATTAAGGTCGTATTCATTGATGTCTTCGAGTTCACACCAACCATCCATGCCATACACGAAATAGACAAACAAAGTAAGAAGAGTAAAGTTGTTTAGGGGTTTTTGGTTTATAGATGCATAAAAGTAAAGATACATTATTGTAAAAGGTAGTGAACTTGAAGACTGTCATGCAAACTATGGTTCATTCATATCATGCATCGATGGTTCATCTATTGTAAGTTTGTAACACCATATCCTTTCCTCAAAGGATACTCTCTACCCGTGTATGTGCCTCTTGCGATATAGATTTAACTAGCTAATGCGTGCTTTAGCTTCCTGCCATTACCTAATTAACGAAGAACAAGAAAGTTAGGATATCATATAGTTAATTGTGGCTTTAATGAACCATAATCATAGTCTATAGCATCAATGATCTAACAACCAAGCATTGATACTACTCGAAGCATATATGGTTGAGCAAGCCTCCCACACTCGTGTAGCCTCAATGGGATATCCCTATATGGTAACTTTTGAACAACAATGCATATAGTACCATACAATAGAATTATAAACATCGATAATACAAGAGTCTTTATACCATAGTAAAGGAAACCATACCGGACATCATACCGGATTCCTTTCTGGTAGGGTATTTTGTGGTACGACCGTGGTTCAACCGTTTCGTACCGGTAAATACCGTTTTTGTGATAATAAAATATATTTTTTGTCAAAAAACGGTGCCGCCAAAATCAGGGTACCGTCTCGAAGTAATACCAGATGTATCGGAATATACCGGATAATAAATGAATAAATACAAGTAGTTAGCAAATTAATTGAAAAAGAAGAAATTTTAAACAATAATTATTTTTTTATAAAAAACTTTCCCATCATTTAATAGATTACTAATCCTCCCCGTGCACCCTTTCCCCATCTACCATCTCTCATACATGTATGCAATCATCAACATAAACAAGGTCCATATTGGCTAGGGCAAGTCAATAATATCATACAACAATCCATGGTTCATCATATAGCATAAAAGTCCATACACCCCTAATCATGCCAATCTAATTCACCTAGGTCAATTCTAAGCATCAATATAATTATTGTGATACGACAAACCCGGTATGTCGTGCTAATCCCTCACTAGTTCTGGTCGTTCAAACACCGGTTTAACCTTCCCGTACTAAAACGTCAATTTCACGAACGAACCCCGAATTAAAATCCAAGACCGTCCTAATATCCCTTCGCTGCAGGAAGCTCGTATATGAAATTTGGGCTCAATCCGGCTACCGGATACTCCGAAACCCTAATTTGGGGGATTTTTGGATCACTAGGGCTCAAAAATTGAGCTGTGAAATTTTTCCCTCGCGTTGCTCCCTTAAACTCTGGCCGCTCTGCTTCTCTCGGTCCGTGAATAGAAAAAGAAAGAACAAAATGAATTGGAGGGGAAAGAATGGTCGGGAGGGGGAATTATATATGGCCCCCGACCGCCTCTTTTATTTTATATATAATATATGGGTCACACTCGTATGCGTCAGACACATACTATGCGACAGGATCTCTACACCGTAGATATAATCTAATGATGTTTATTAATTGGAATTAAATTATTTAATTTTTACAATTTTCAAATGATTAGTTGGTCCTATTACTTTTTTATGCGTACCCTTTAACCCCTAAACAAACTTTTCAACATATTTTCGAATTATAGTACCAAATTTTATTCTAATCATGTCTCCAATCCATTAAGTTATATTTACTTACAATTTTAGTTTGGTGATTTATTCCTTTTGCCACTCATGTCAACGCTCAAACCCCCTTTCCAATTGCTGTCTGTAGTGGCTGACGAACCCTCTCCTCTAATCCTGGCTATCGAATGAAGCAATTGGATTTTGCGCTTCCCATCGATGTTTAATCCCTCTATGGATTAAGAGAGTGACCTGTTCGAGGCATGATGGATTGAATCTTGTGCTCGAGAGGCGGATGAGGAAGGGATGATCGGAGAAGTGAAGAGTGCAGACTCGAGATGTGGGCCGAAGTGCGGATCGCCGATAGCGGTGGGTAGGTACGCTGCCGTTGATGGCCAACAAAAAGTGCAAATACCAACAGCAGCAGCCAGAGCGGACGAACGAGACTGATGGCATAAACTTTGATAGGTATGAATAATAGGCCTTACTTGAAATTGCAGAAGTAGAAGTTGTACTAGGTCAAATTTGTGTTTGAAATTTGTCTTTGGATGTTTATGGGATGTCTGATTTCATTGGTAGCAATAACACATTAAGATTCACTGTCTCCCTTTCCCCATGTGCAGATTTCAGAAGTTTCTGAACCCTTTTTTATTGACTGGGTGATTTCTCAGCATGATCACATTTTGGGATGGAGTGGTCGTTCTTTTGACCTTGAGGTTAGTCCGTAATTGCGGTGGATGATTTCTAGTGCAAGCCTCAATCAGATTCACCTTGATCACTTAAAGCTATACTATGCAATTGTTAAACGCACTGAATTAAATATGAACAACCACGGTAGGGTAATTTGCGAAACATGTGAACTTGAAAATAGTTGCTGGGGTATGCAAGACTGGGAACCTTTGTGTTTCCTGTTGTTTGTGCAGGACTGGGAACCTTAGTCCCTGCAGAAGAGGCAAGCAGCATCAATAGTTGAGTCATTTAGGTATTACACATCTGCAGACGCTGCTGTCTATAATTTTTCACAGCCTGGATTCCTCTCTGCGGAAACTGTTGAGTCAGTTATGTATTATGCTACACCTGATAGAACAGTCAATTTGTTTTAGTATGCTACTTGACCACTAACTGGACAGGAAAAGGAGTTGAACTCTGCCAATGTTGATTAGACTACTTTCCCTTTGTATCTTACATAGTTTAAGTCATAGTTGTTTTGCTCTCGTGTTGCATTGGCAGTTCCGAGGAATAATCTATATCCCGCCCATTCCTCCGTTAACTCGCTATACAGAATTTGTGATAATTCGTCGTCTTTCGAGGCTCAGAGCATGGTTGACTTTTGTGAAAGATTGGTGTTTGAATGACTTTTTAACAACTGGAACCGTTGATGTGAAGAACTCACTCTTTGGAGAATGCTTGATATCTCTATAATGAACCATTATTGAAGAACTTCCTTCTGCTTCTCAAGATTTAAAGAGATATTAGCATACATCATTCACTCACTTCTACTGTCACTCCAGGAATTGGCCAAGTGAAACCACTTCCTAAAGCGTAGTATAGCGGGTTTGGGTTTAATTATCAACCCGGGTCCTAGATTTGATGACTACTCAGTGAATTCTTGTTACACCTAGCGTAAAAGGACTTATTTATATAGATTCTGACTCAGACGCAGATGGCGATGATTCACACAAGAGGCCAAAAAATGCGGCTGTGAAATATATAAATGTGTCGGGGAAGGTATATAGAATTTATTTAAAGAAATTACACATGTGTGATTTTAAAATGTTTATGCTGTACCTATGTATTGTAAGTTTTGGTAAATTCAAATCGTAGGTGAAATTTCCGGCGACTGCAATAATGGCGTTAGATAATGATGAGGATCGTTCCATTGCGTGTTTCATCTTTGGTGATGGTCTACAAGATGATAAATGACTTGTTGAGAATTTTGGCCATAGTTTAAGTCGTCTAGAACTGAAGGACTTGCTGCCGAAAATGTGGCTTCATGGTTATGTAAGTATTTTGTAGTTCTGTTTTAGTAAGGCATACTTGACCACATATTAGCTATACTAATCTTGGGTTTTACTTATTTTAGATTTTGACTGTTGTAGCTTGTCAATTAGCTGTTGATGTTAGGGTTTGAGGGAAAAAGGGACCTTGGTACTTTCCATCCAATTTTGAGGTAAGCAACAATTATGGAAAGCTCTTTACAGTAAGTTTACTTTTTTCTTTCTCCCAAAGTTGAATAATGAATGTGAACTGCTACCCAGGATTTGGTTGTGAAAATGGGTTGGACTCCAAAAAAAGCCGTGGAAAAGTATAAGAACCTATATCTTGGCGGCACCTTTGAATGCACCAAGATATGGTGTAATAATATTAGTAATTTTCCAGGGTACTCTATTCTCTTAATATTTTGCCATTTACTGTATAGTCCGTTCATTCTTTCGTCATCATTTACTTGTTTATGTATTTCAGATATATTTGCCAATGAATGAAGAGAACCGCCATTGGTTTCTTATTGTGGTTTTCATGGACCGAAAGGTAGTGCATGTAGTGGACTCTTTGCCTATTGATTTGGGTTTGCTGGAAAATCGTAGGAAAAGGGTGCAAGGAATGGTGGGTGATCAAACTATTCCCTTCGTGTAAATTTAGTAAGTCAATTTTCTTTTTCTTTTTTAATTTTTGTACAGTAATAGTTACGTGGTTAAGTTTGTTGTTACAGTTGAAATTCTTCTACAAGATGCTTCAAGAATTTCCAGACAAGCCATCAACCTATGAAGTGCCCAAAGTGCATAAGTTCCAAATCATAAGTTCTCTATACGTTTCTATGCAAATTGACGAGTTAGTATTTCTTTGAGTATTTTGATTATTTCATTTCGATTCACAATCTTATTTTCAATAATAAATGCTATTTTTCCACGTAGCTATGAGTGCGGGTTTTACGTATGTCAGTGGATGTTGCACGGAGAGGTTGATAATAATTCGTATACGGCGGTATAATACAATCCTTTCCTTCTAAATATGATTCCATCCACGTGAGATTCTACACTATCAAATCGAAATCAACATGTTAAGAGTAATGTTCTAAATTTGCTGCAGGTTTGTAGTAATAGAGGTCGACTATCCTTGGCCATAAGTTTAGTCAAATATCTCTCAAATACAAGATGCTCTCAAATTATTGATGAAGCAAGGGCCGTTTATGAAAGACATTTCAAGGGGAAAATCAACTCAAAATGCCAAAAGTGTTTATTTGATTCATTTTAGAAAAGTAGTTGTTTTTGTTTTATTGGTAGTCGGTCGGTTTTATACTTTTATTGGTAGTCGGTCGGTTTTACTATTACTTTGATCCCAACTGAATTCATTTTAGATTGGTTTTGGTGTTTACCTTTATTTTTTTTTAAATCCGAATGTTGGTTCACGTTTTTGTGGCTTTGTTCCTGATGCTTGTTCAGCTGAGATAAGGCTTAAAGAAGGCGCCTAGGCTTGAGCCTTAACTGCCGTGATTTCATTATGGTATTGAAGGGACTGAGATTGTATAGAAGAAGACGACTTTGACCTTTCGCCTGGTTAGTGGGGGTTTTTGTTTATCTTTATTTCGGCCCAAAAAATGCGCCAATTCTTGGCTTTGGCCTTTGGATATCTCATACCTTGCCACCGGAGGACGCCGGAGATGTATTCGTTCATCGGAGCAAACCTAACCATGTTGGATCCAACAAATAGCTTCAATAACAAAATTTTAACCCAATAACAAGTGTTTTTAGTTGCTCAGAGCTGGATCGTATCAAGATAGTGGTAGAGATAGTGGTAGATTGATAATGTATATATAGTATCTTCTCCAATTAGAACATGTAACTTAAAGTCGGTTACAACTAATTTGTCTTTAAATCATAGCAAGACAACTAAATATCGTCACAAAGTCAAAGAGTTTCAATGACCCATTAAGTTGAATTGCTTCGATACAACGACCTATTCATTACAAAAAAGCACTGAAACTTAAATCCATATCAAACACGGATTCGTACTCAAAAAAGTAAAGTATTGGTTGGAATTTTTTTTGCCTCTTGGGCTCTGGGATCTCACCAAAGAAAGGCATTTTTGGACCGGTAGTATTGGCAGATGATTTACATGTGGACAAACAAGTCAAACAATTCAAGGGTATTGTTTTGGTTCTCAACGAACATGAAAAGGGAACGAGACAAGCAGACAATTCAAACAATTCAAGGGTATTGTTTTGGTTCTCAACGAAAATGAAAAGGGAAACAAAACTAGAGTACTGGCAGGAGAACTAATCAACCAAATATCCAGAATATACTACTGCAGGAGAAATGAACCACCATCTCCCTATGAATCTTCTAGTTCTGGATTACGCTCTTTTGGCTTTCTTCCTTGTACCTACGAGTCTGGGCAACAAATCTCGATGCATTACTATTTGCTTCCTCGATGACGACATGTCTTATGTAATTTGTAGGGTGTTGGACCAAATACAAAGCTAGTTGCATTCTCCTTATATCTCCGCATGGCTGCAACAGTTTGACAATGACAATGAGGCTTAGTAGCTGTTTCGAAAGGTTGTTTTCCTTCAAGGCCAAGTAGGAGAATTCTTGCTTACCCATATATTATAAGAAGCATCCCAAGATGCACCCATCATCCATGAGCACACCCAAACACCACTATCAGACCTACATAAAATAAGATGCAGCATATGAGTTGTGGGTATCTAAGTATGTTTCTTATTTATTCACAACGGACAATTCTTACTCGTGACGTTGTTCGGGAATTGAAGGAATTGTCAAAGAAAATTGTTCCAGCACAGGTGGATCAAGTGTTGGTTCCACTTGCCGATAAAGATCCTCAAACAAGCCATAAAGAAATTTGATCTACATAAGCAGTAATCACTTTATTCGGAATAGATGAAAACACAAATCAATTTAGAGATATAACTGTATTCGGATCAGGAGGTCAAACCATACCATAGTTACTACTGCGTTTCTACGAGATCTTTGGCGCTTTTTAGAAGGATACGAATCCAATAGATGGAGTTGTTTGTCGTCCAGCATAATGACAGCTAAATACCAGTGAACTGCATCACCGTCCATTGCATCTTTCATGGGCAGATACACCTAAATAACGACGAAAAAGACCAAACTCAGCTGAGCATTGTTAAATACAATTTACAGAAATATCAAAAGCTTGATGGAACATCTAATTTATTCACATAACCAATTCAAACAGTAGCTAGAAACAGTAATTGAGGAATGTTTCAATGAAACAATAAAGGAATTGTTAAGAAGAAACCTTTATGCACGTGTGAGCTCTTGCCAAGAACTTTGCATCGTAACACTCTAGAGCATTTTTTTGATTTCATGCCATAGTTAATTACCATTTTCTGATCATGGGACATTTAAAATAGAAGATAACACATTTAATAGGAGAAACGGAATATTGCACCTCAAATAAATATACAAAGTAAATGGGACTATACTTGTAGTTCAGCAGGCAGATAACAGACTACTCTTCCATCTCCAACATCACTCCAAACTTCCTCCAGGCTCAATTGGCAAGCCATGGCTGTAATTACATCATCATCGACATTAGACTTAGGGTAGAGGGACCACAACACCTTTCGTGTATAGGATTGCATCATGGTTTCAACCAGGATTTCCTTTTGTGGAAGATCCTTCGCAAATATGTAGTGGGCAAGGTTCACTTCCTCTCTAGTGTACTTGAGATGTGTTGGAAGTGTAAACTTTGTTTCACCCTACAATAGAAGACGAAACATAAGGATAAAAACAATTGATTTTGTTCTAAGCGGGGAAAATTGGTGGGCTAGATTATCATACCTTCTTGGCGAATTGTAAGTAAGAAAATCTGGTACGACCTTTCCAAACTAAGTCATTCCAATCTGCCTGCAAATAACCATCAATCTGGATCACACCATCTTCAGTTCTACCTTTCTTTCCTTGAGATTCATCCTTCTCCAGCAAAGAATTCATCGTAATAAAAACACAATGCCTTATTTAGTTTGGAAGAATAATCTGCCAACGTTGGAGAAAACGGGAAAAAAGAATGCAAATTGACGAACCATTAGTTTGGAAGAACTTCTGTTCTTGCGTTTTGTCATCATCCTGCCGTCCTTATCGTTCTGCATATTGCTCCTGGTTTCTGCCCCCTGACCGAGCTCCTGTACTGCTGTTCTGAATGAGCTCCTGGTGAATACAGAAAAGGAGTTATCATTCTTAAACTAGGGCCAACGGGTGAGTGTTTTTCTCTATAAGGATACTGGAAACTTTATCTTCCTCATTAACCTCCACATGGAAAAGGAAAATAATATTGTATACGGGTAATAATTAACATGAAAACAATCCGCATCACCTATTTGGAAGTTGAATCTACCATATATAACATGCAAGCATTCTTTAGTATTTTTTTTTCGGTAATTCAAGCATTCTTTATTAGTTGCATTCTTTATCCAACTAATTAGCTGCATTCTTTATCCAACTAGTAACCATAACGGGAAACAATATAATAAAAATTTAAAGTACTAAAATATAAAAAAACTGTACACCATGACGGGAAAAAATAGAAAAAACTAATTACACGTGAAAAACGGATTAGGTTAACAACAACAGCAAAAAGACCTTTGCTTTGCGCCCGATTCAGCCCCTCCCCACAAACAGTAAAAAGACGGCACACCAATGGAGGAAGAGGGAGATACTATCAACAACAATGAAGACAACGATGTTGAAATCATACCAGAAACAATGACCTCTGACAACAATGGTCCTACTATACAGGAGGATGACACAAACGTTATTCAAAATTCTCCTTTTATCGTTCAGGAATTCAATGATTTAGAGGATGCATATGCGTTCTACAACAACTATGGTAAGAGTTGGGGGTTTTCTGTCCGTCGCTCAAGGAAGGTTAAGAACGTCAAGGGAGAGGTAACAAGTGCAGCCTTCGTGTGTTCCTGTCAGGGAGTTCGAGAAGCACATAAAGGTCCACAAAAGAGGGAGTCGCCTATGGAGATCAGATTTCAGTGCATGGCTATGTTTCGTGTGAGCTTGAACAAGACAAACAATAAGTGGGTTGCTGATATATTTAAGTCACAACACACTCATGACCCAGTTAGGCAAAATCAGGTACATTACTTGAGGTCGCATCGAGGATTAACAGAAGCAGACAAGGCAGACCTCCGAGTTAAAAAGGATGCCAGAATGAAACCTTCTCAGGCCATTAAGCTTGCTGTGCATTGTGCTGGAGGGCATGACAAACTTGGGTATACAGTTAAAGATGGGTTAAATTTCAGCACCAAAGACCGCGCTGAGAGAATCAGCGAGGGTGATGCAGCAACTGCACTGGCCTATCTAGAATCAAAGAAAAGCACAGACCCACACTTCTTCCTCCGATACACTACTGATGAGGAAAAAAGGCTCCATTTTTTATTTTGGACTGACAACATTTGCAGAGCCGACATTTCATGTTTTGCAGAGCCGTATTCGAATGAAAGATTAGTCGGTCCAATGGGATGGTCCAGACCGAATCAAGCCATATATGGTTTGATCCAAACTGAATCAAAGTTATAACGATTTGACTTTGGTCCTTGATTTAGAAGAAATTTTGGTCGGGTCCAACAGAAATTTTTTAATACCAAAAATACAATTTATTGTTTTCAACGGATGAAAAGTACACTTCAATTCCCTCATTAACCGCCAATAACTATTAGCAAACTTTTACTATTTTAATTTTAGTTTGGGATAATTTCAAGCGGCATGGCACTCTAATTTTTTATGTAAAGTAAAACTCCTATAGAAAATAAAAATATTGGAGGGAGCTTCTAATATTTTGTAATTTTTTTAAAATTGGAAACGTACAATTCAATTTCATATTTACCCGCCAATAACTAAGAGGGAACTTTTAATATTTTAAATTTTCGTTGCGATAAATTTTGGAGGCAGACCTCTCCAAATTTTAAGGGAAATCCCAAATATTGGAAGTAAATGTATTGAATGCTAAAAAAAGGAATTCCTTGTTTACGAATATCCAAAAGTATAATTTAATTAATTTTTTTTCATGAATCGGCTGGGCTTATATTTAAGCCGAACAACCTAGTACATAAAAGGCAACAACTGTGCCCACTGAGTTTTTTTTTTAGAAACCACTGATAAAGATTTCATTAAAATCAAGAATCAACTGCCTCAAAGGCTACAACGTCAGCCACCCTTTGTGGTAGAACATTACAATCAAAATGAGTTTCCTCAGAAACTGAAACTAGATGAGCAAACACAGGAGCTTGGGACCACAACAAAGCATATAAATCCTCCTTCAACATATCCGAACAAATGACCCCCAGTTCAGTTTTGCATATTTTCCCCTGTTTCAGTATCTCGATCACCATTTTACAGTCTGACTCTACCACAATCGGGCCAATTTCTTTCTCCTTCACTAGTCTGACCCCACAGAGAATAGCGATTCCTCCTTTAAAGTGTCTTCGCTTTTGGCCTCACTTGACATAATTCTTCAGGGGTTTAACTCCTGCTGCATAGACACACCAAAAATAGCGTCATTCACAATACAGGAAACAAAGTTCGATGGAAGCTTGGGACCACAACAAAGCATACAAATCCTACTTTGGGTACTCATATGGATAATGTTCTTCTCGTATGTCAGATTCCATCCTTCCATTCACACTCCCCATGGCAACGACGTGCACATATAATGAAAGAAAATTGCCAAATCAAACAAATGATATTCATAAAGCAAAATATAAAAAATGAAATTTTGTTAAATTATATGGTCCAGGTTGAAATACTTCCTCATACCACATATTACTATCATAAACTTTCTTGTAGGGTTCAGGAATAAAGGATACCGTAGTTCCAGTGGTACATATTCAAGCTAAATAGTAATGGGGGCATTCCTATGAATGAAGCACTCCTACATAGCTGCAATACATTCCAGACTTACTATATCATCTACTCTAGTACCCCTCAAGAAAGCGTATGACAACAATCACATTATCTGTGCAAGCCTCAACCAAATATTTCACATATACATGTGTTCTCAAATGAACATTTGAAACTGGAAGGAAATAAAATGATACCATAAAAATTGTGATAGAACTAGAGGTACATAAACTATCTCCCGAATCCACTAGTGGCCTTCACAACTCTGCAAGCAATGAATTTTCTGAGTTGAGGGATTCGGACCAATAAAGAAACAACAGACGAAACAACAATAAAACGAAACCAACCTCAAATCTTTCAAATCTCCTGCAGCCTTTCCGAGTTTCTTCCAAAATGTAGGAGTCAAGTGGGCGGAAAAGAACCACCAGCTGGAATATGGTTTCACAATATTTATTATGAACACTCCAACTAAATCTGATGTTCTTCTCCGCCCTTTGTAGACACATTTACATGTTGGGACTGCCCGCCGAACTGCCGCTAACACAACCTCATAAGAAAATAAAAGAAGATCAATAAAATGGATTGGATTAGGTAACTAGTCTCCAAACTCAGTTATTAGCTAACACTCATGAGGGGAAAATTGAGATTTGGAATCAAATTAATACAAACCGTGTCAACAAGCTACGAAGCCAGATCTACTTGAAGAACTCGTGTCAGATGCCAAATTCGGCTTTCACTAATTGAAGCAACCCACCGAACTTCATTTTTGTGAGATCGACAACATGAAAATGTCAATACGGCGCAGAAGAATCATCATATGACGTGTGTTTCCAAAACGAACGTTATGAAAAAACCGAACTCCATCTGATGATCTTCTGCGCTGTCCTTACAAGTTTACATGTTGTCATTCTCAGACTACCATGCCTCTAGCCCAACGCACTCCGGACACCCAAAAAAAAAACAAACGAGGGGATTAGGCTACTGGAGTCAGACCTTCATTAGCTACCAAGAATAAGATCAAAAATCTATTTGAGTAAAATATGAACCTTCCTCCTTGCAGCTGTCTCCCCGACATCAATCTCCAAATCATCACCCATTTCGCGCCAGAGAAGAAGATTAAGATAGGGCGGCATCGATCTACCCCTCACAACGAAGCGAGAGCCTGGAGGCAAGTAGAGGAAGGAATTAAGAGGTAAGCGGTAGGATTTTTTTTTCCTTTGGGTTCTTGGCGAAAGAACATAAGTGAATGAGAACAATGGGAGGGGGAATGTGTAATGAGCGACGGCTAAGGTTTCATCCAGCCTTATTTATTTAGTTCTTAGCCCTGCATTTTTGTCTATTTTTACTCTCACATCTTGGTGATGGTGGAAACGAGGGAGCAGCTGGATTGGGGAGAACGGAAGGGGAAATGGAATTTAGGGTTTGGACTACCAAGACCAATGCGCGTGGGAGAGAAGGGCTGTGAATGGGCTGCGCTTGAGAACACATGGCCAACATGCATTGTTTGCTTCTTTTTTTTCCTACTAACATAACTCGTTTGTAACAAAAACCAGGGAGGGAAAATGGGCCAATGGGGGATGGTTAGTTGTTCCCTATGTAAACAATGGGAGTTTCTTTAATCAATTTAATTTCCTATAGTTTAACACGTTGTAAACAATGAGAATACCAAGATCTGTTGAAAACGTTGTATGTCCTAAATCAATCTTGTATTACTAACCACGTTGTGCTAGAATTAAGCGTTGAAATGTTGCATTTTCCAATTGTTGAATACTTAAACGCCCTACGGGTAGTGGCTGAGCCACCTCTTGAGGAGAGGGGTCATAGGACTCAGTTGGGAAAAAACAGGGCAACAAAATCCTACAGATATGTAAGGTTTAATATGATCCTTTGAATTTAGGACCTCATACTTTCGTTTATGTTAGCTCATCTAAGGACACCAATTAACTCAAACTTCATTAGATAAACGGAATTTTGCATTTTGAAAATAAAAAGGAGCCCAGTCAATTTAATGTATGGCTACCACACTCCCTACGACATACAACTCTACCAATGTTAGTATGACAACAATCATAAAACACAATGCTTACTTTCGTACGCAATAATCCAATTCTATTCAACAACTTATTTGGGCGACAAATGATCCCCAATTCACATTACACTACATAACTAGGATCCCAAACCAGCCTTCTTGAAAGTTGAGCTAACCTTGCTTCGACTAGGAAGATATGTCCATTGCATTGATTTTCATATTATCAACCCTCTTGCCTAAACTACCTTGGATATGTTTATCGTCTGTTGCACGATTTTTGTGACAATTAGGATGAGGGAGATGACTACAAAAGTATCGTTGTAGCGCACCTTTCATAGATTCAAGTTGGCTAGTTTAATTTAAACTAAAACTATAAGATTTTATTAGATTATGATTATGCTCAAGTAGTAGGCGAGGCCATTTTTCCTGGGGATACGTCCTACGTCGACCACTATACCACGACAACTATACTACGATGCCAAATCCCTTAGTGTTATTATGGATCAAGATTTATAATCTTCAAGGATCCAACAACCTTGACCCCAATCTCAAAAGTCACGATAATGGTTTGAGATATTACGTATAAACTAAAAATATTAAATCATTACTAAGACGCCAAATTAAAGCCAATGAATGTCATTTGGTGTAGCGGAAATAGTGTGGAAATATGACTCCTTGGATACATGTTCAAATCCCAAAGGATGCACGTTTTTGTCTTCTACTTTCCATTTTAATTAATGGTAAGCCATTAATAGATAAATAATTTCTTTAAAGGCAAGTAAAAATTTTTCTTGGTTGTGAAAACCAATAAAACCAAGCTTAATGCAGTTAAGAAAGGGTTGAAGAGGTTGAATAGAGAAGTTTTTAATGACATCAGTGGGCAGGTGAGAGACATTGAAGGGTAGTTGTTGGCTGCGCAAGAAATGGCCCTATCCAGTCCCTCTGGTGATCTTTTTGCTGTAGTAGAAGACCTAAGTTCTAAGCTTGTGAAGCTAAAGAAGGACGAGGAGAGTTTTTATTGGCAAAAGGCTCGGGTAAATCACCTGAAGTTGGGAGATCAGGGTACTAGATTTTTCCATCAATCGGTTAAAATCAAGACTGCTAAGAAGGCTATAAGGAAGTTAGTACTTGAGGGGGTTGAGGAGATAGTGGGGATGGACGACATTGCGGCTGAAGCGGTAAAGTTTTATAAAAACTTATTCGGTTTTATTGACCCTAAGGTACAACCTTGTAAGCAGTACCTGGAGGACCTGGTCCTGCATAGACTGAGTGAGGAGCAGAAGACTTTCTTGTGTCAGGAATTCATAGCTGATAATGTGAGACAGGTGGTAGTTGGCATGAGTTCTCATCGAGCCCCTGGCCCAGATGGGTTTTCAGCTGGCTTCTACAAGCGCACATGGGGGATTATTGGAGAGGACATCACTGCTGGAATTCTGGGTTTCTTCACTACAGGTAAGCTTCCTAGTAGTGTTAACTCCACTGCTGTATCTTTGATACCAAAGGTTGCCTCTGTTTGTAGGTTAAAAGAGTTTAGGCCAATCTCTTATGTGAATATCCTCTATAAAATCATTGCCAAGTTGCTCGCGAATAGATTGAGAAATGTTTTGTCTAGTGTAGTTAGTGGAAATCAGTCTGCTTTTATTGAAGGGAGAAGGATTGTAGATAATATTCTAATGGCACAAGAGCTTGTGAGTGGCTATCACAAAAGTACCCTATCTTCTCGATGTGCTATAAAGATGGACCTCATGAAAGCCTTCGATTCTGTTCATTGGGGCTATCTGTTCCTCATGATGGAAGTAATGGGATTCCCTCAGAGATTCATTTACTAGATCAGACTTTGTGTTAAAACAGCAAAATTTAGCATTTGTGTTAATGGTGGGCTGTGTGGATTCTTTGGGGCACGGAGGGGGGGGGGGGGGGGGGGGGGGGGGTGAGACAGGGTGATCCCCTCTCGCCTTACCTATTTACAACAGCAATGGAAGGGATTTCACTTCTCTTGAATCGAGCTGCTGCAGAGGGCACCCTGGCCTTTCATCCTCAGTGCAAGAAAGTTGGTCTGACACACTTGTGTTTTGCCGACGATCTGCTCATTTTCACAGAGGGTTCAGGGCAGGCTATTCAGAAAGTTCAGGGGATTTTGAAAGAGTTCCATACCATTTCGGGGCTAAAGTGCAATCCAGGAAAATGCGAGGTGTACTTTGGTGGGAAGTCAGTACAATTCAAGCAGACAGTCTTATAGGTATCAGGTTTTGCAGAAGGGATTTTACCTGTCCGATACTTGGGTGTGCCCCTTCTTTCAGGGAAGTTGCCTTCTAGTGAGACTGACAAGTTAGTATCCATAATTACGAAGAAGATCCAGTCTTGGCGCGCAAGAAAACTCAGTTATGATGGGCGGTTGCAGTTGATTTCGTCAGTTTTGATGGGGACGCTCCAATACTGGATGCAGATCTTTATCTTGCCCAAGAAAGTTATCAAGCAAGTTCAACTAGTGTGTTCTAGGTTTCTCTAGCATGGGGGAGAAGAGGGTCGTGCTAAGGTGAGTTGGGATAGGATGCCAAGGCCTAGAATGGAAGGAGGTTTGGGGCTGCGTGAATTATGTGCCTGGAACAAGGCATGTACAGTCAGGTTTCTCTGGCTATTCCTAATGAAGAGTGGTGCTATCTGGGTAGCGTGGTTTCAACAGTATAAAGTCAAGGATCGCTGCATCTAGACTATTTCTTATTGTCCAAGCATCTCCTAGGCCTGGAGGCGGATCCTCAAGTTGCAAACTCTGATCCAACCATTATTGTCGCTGCAAAATTCTCAGCTTATGTAGGATAATAAAACTATGCCTGTGTTCAAAGTGTCTGTAGTTTGGAGCAGCTTGCGAGTCAAGTATGCAGTGGTAGATTGGGTTAAGCTAGTCTGGGGAAAGAATTATGTCCCTCGGAACAGCTTTCTAGCCTGGATGATCATGTTAGACTCTGTGGTCACTAAGCAGAAGCTGATGACGTGGGGTAAGCAGACAGATGGTTTATGTGTGTTGTGTGGTATTGCAGTTGAAACTCGTGAACATTTATTCTTTGCGTGTGCTTTTTCTCGTCAAGTGGTTATGGCTTTGCAAATGGGGGTGCTCTGTTGTGGATCTTGGGAAGCTACTGTGGCTGCAGGTATTGCCAGTTGTAAAAGGCCGAAGCTGGGTAGGATAACAAGCTTGATCTGGTGCCTATGCTGCGCACGGGGATCTGAAAGGAGCGTTGCCGTCGCTTATATGGAAACACCAGGAAGCAAGTGGAGGAGTTTATCAGGGATGTTACTTGTGATTTGAGGATTGTTTGTGCTGATAATGAAGATCTTACCGAAGAGCTGCAGTTTCTTGGGTTGCAAGGAGATGTTTCGGGGTTGATAACTATGAGTAGGTCTCTGTGGAGGGTGTGGTAGGAGGTAGACGGTTTTATTTCGACTTATAGGGCTGCTCTACTTGAGCTTTCCTTTCGTTGTATTGGTTTGGCCATTTGTGTCTTGCAAATGGTTTCCTCTTTTGCAAATTAATAAAAAGAGGAACTGATTCAACGGGAAAAAAAAAGTTTTCTTGGTTGAAAGGTAAGTAAAACTTTGATTCACTGTTACAATAAAATAACTTAAACTTGGAAATCTGATTGTTTTTTGTCTGTTGAACATATTTTGGATCTAGATAGTACCAAAATCTTTTTGTCTGTTCAGCATATTTTTGGATCGAAATAGTACAAAAAATAATGGATTTGTCAGAGCCACTTTATATCTTAACAAAACATTTGGGAACATATTTTAAAATTACAAAGATTTTTAATGCAAAAGAATATACAAAATTCTGAACACCCACTTTTTAGAGAAACTCGCCAATGCCACCACCTATATTCGGCAAACTTCCTTTTTCGAGGCCATGGGAATGAAAGAATTAAATGTAATGTAATATTGAATATTTTTATTTAATTGATCTCCCTATTTATTTGCTGATTGTCTATCTTATCATTATCCTTTTTTACCCTCAAAACCTTCTATCTTGTTCAGAAAAAAAAGGAAACAACTATCCCTAATTTTGTCTTCTTCAATCAATGATGGAAATCTTCTTTTTTTATCGGAAATCTTAGGTAACATACATTACTTAAATTGATGATCAATCCTAAGAGCAAAATCATTTTAAAATTTTGCAATCAGGCTACCGATTTCAGAGCAAATATAGAGATTATCTACTATTGGAATGTGGGAAGAATAACTTGGGTACAGAGGTTTTAGAACCAGTTTTTAGCTTTACACAATATTTGGATAGAGTTTCTAATAAACAAAAATAATTTGATACAATCTAACCGAGATTACAAGAACAACAGTTTTGTACCATCAGATTGGTGCAAATGATGCTAAAAACAAAGGTAAATACAATATATTAGCCATAACTATTAAGCAGCGGGGAATTATAGCCACAACTATCGAAATACAAATTATTAGCCATTCGTTAAGTGTTCGTTAACAATTCTGTCAGTAATGATAACTAAGCTTTTACGATGTTGAGTTGGCTCCCACGTGGAAGTCATCATATCATATTTTTTACGAAGCTGGCACGGCCTTCTTCGTTAAAAATTTGAAAACAGTAACGGTCTGTTAGCCAAATCTTGACTCGCAACAATAGTTATGGCTAATAATTTGTATTTTGATAGTTGTGGCTATAATTTCCCGCTGCTTAATAGTTATGGCTAATATATTGTATTTACCCTAAAAACAACAACAAACAACCTACGGGGCCACATCTACACAAAAGCATCCACGCGAAATTCTTCCGTAGTCCCGGCTTACCACGTTGGATATCAGACGTGGTGCTGCGAGCCAATTACAACTAGACATGTAGGAGTTAGTTTCGATTTCCTCCTGCTTTTATGGTAGGTTGATTTTTTTATTATTCTTTTTCTTTTTGCTTTCGTTCTTTTATTATTCTTCAGAAGAAGAGATAAATATCCAATTGAAGAAAAAAGATGAAATCAAAGGGGATAATTCGTTTACGGAAAGAATCAATAAGGAAAGATTAACCAATTAATTGAGAAACTAATTAAATGCGAGTCCATTCAATTTCTGCATTTTATTAATTACTCAATTTCCAAGTGGCTGGTTTTGATTAGGTGGGAGTACCATGTCAGTAAAATGACGTGGTGATCCCGGAGCATGGAAGAATTTCTATTGCATCCACCCTATCTAAAAATAGCAATGCTATAGTGCCACATCTACAAGAACCACTCGTGTCATATGCCAACTTTGGGACCTGCTACATGCCACTCAAGTGGTCTTCTGCACCAAATACAATCACATACCCTATAAAACATATTAATGGAATTCCAACATTTTATCCCTGATTTTAAACGTACCCTAAAGACAAACCAAATTATGTAGCCAGCCTTAATTGACAAATGTGTGGCATTTTCTAAATCAATATAGTGTAACAAGCATAAAATGAGAATTCCTAAACGTGTATATAAAAACATTTATATCCTTACATCCTAAATCAATCTTGTATTACTAACCACATCATGTTGCAATTAAGCGTTTAAATGTTGGAATACCAAATTGTTGAATACATAACCGCCCTACGAGATACAACTCTACCAATGTCAGTATGACAACAACCATAAAACACAAGTGCTTACTTTAGTATGCAATAATCAACTATATTTGACAACTCATTTCAACAACTTATTTGGGATCTCAAACCAACCTTCTTAAAACTTGAGCTAACCTTGCTTCGACTAGGAAGGCATGAGCATTGCACTGATTCTCATATTTTCAACACTCGCGCCTCAACTACCTTGGATATGTTTATCGTTTGTTGCATGATTTTTGTGACAGATAGGGTGAAGGACATGACTCCCAAAGTATTGTTCTTCTCTTTGCTATGGTAGGATGTTAGGCTAAATGTTGCTGATCGGAGGACTGTTGAACGCGAGTTGCGAGTTGCCACAAGCGGAGTTGGAGTCTACATGTCAGAGCATATTGGGAACCAATACGTTAGAGTAAGTATTTATACAGTTAAAGGCTTGTTGTTATCAAAGATGAATTTAATGGCTGATTTTTAGAGTTGTATTTCAGCTCAATGGTGCTAGAGGACGAGCGTTTGGAACCACGCAACCCACTGAGGTTCAGATGAGTGGAAGTCAACCCCTACCTTCGCAGCCTAAGACCTGTCTATCCATGAGCCAACTAATCTTTTTTGCACGTTAAATTGTTAAGAAAATTTGTTAGTTGGACTTGAAACCTATTGGTTGCCTATGTACCCGAGTAGTGGGGATCAAAGTCCACATAGTTCGTCTGAAATTACTTAAATACGTTCTACTGATTGCGATTAAGATGATTTTAGTTATTAGGAAGTGGATTTATGATTTTGCAATTTAGTAATTGAATGTTAGATTGCCTTTGGAAGAATTTCAACGAAAATAACTATCACGGTCTATTGACCATAATTTCATATTTGGGAAATCTCTAAATAAAATAAATATGTGTATGCAAAATAAAGGTTTTAATATTTTGAAATACATAGAAGTAATCTTAACTTGGCCAAAGCAAAAGTCTTAACATGATTGGTCAATATAAATTTTCCGTATTAAGTGACTTACAAAATACAAAGTAGCGAAATAAATAAGGTACAAGAATTACAACGTATGCCGAGTGGTTAGGTGCCGCATTGCTTGTTTGTTGTGATTTGTGAACCCTGAGGCCGGGAGTTCGACTAACACTAGAATGTTTTTTTTTTGTTTCACAGAGGGCAAGTGGCTTGTGAACCCTGAGGTCAGGAGTTCGACTCACACGAGAGTGTTTTTCTTTGTTTCACAGAGGGAAAGTGGCAAGGACGAGTAATATTAAGAAAGCTCTAGGGGTAGATACGTCATTGTAACAAAACGGGTATATAAACCTTTTTTTTAGAACCCTAGCCGCTCTCTCGTCTCTTCCTCTCTTCTCCAGAAATAACAAACCAACAAACGAAAAGAAGAAGAACAAAAAAAAAAAAATCTTAGCTTTTCTCCTCCTTCTACTTGATTCTTCTTCTTCCTCTCACCCTCTATTTATCCTCCATCTTGTCACCGGCGAGTACCTCGGAGGAAGGAAGAAACCCCTTCTCTACCTGACCTCTCATTTCTCTCCAGAGGTAACGAAACACGACATCCCTCAAGACGACGAAGGAACGATGGTGGCCGCTGATGATAACGACGACGATGCAGGCGGTAACGAAGGCAAGAGGTTAGCTTTGTTTGCATGTTGGATTTGAGGGTTTGATTTTCTTTGAGTTTATGGGTTCTCACTACTTCTGGGTTTTGATTGCTTGGGTCCAATCAAAAGGGGAAAAGAGTAAATAAATCAGTGGCGTCGGTAGGAACACCGGCGGCCGAGACTGAAGACGACGAATAAAGGGGTCTTAGGTAGGTTTCTTTCGGCGTATTTTTGTGGAAGATTGCCTTGTTTGTTTTGAACAAAATCTGACCACTTTTTCTGTCTCTCTGGGTTTTGAACTGGACAAAGGAGAGAAAAGGATAGTGGACGAGGGAAGAAACAAAAAGTCATCGACAGCAAAGGAGAAATCCTCCGGCGGGGCTTCTCAGGTGAGTTTTTCTTGGGCTTATGGGTTGGTAGTTGTCATTTTATTCTGATTGTAACGATCCTAATTGTTTGTATTTTTATGCAGGGTTTCAAGATTGGAATTTTAGTAAGTAATACCTCCAATCCTCTGTTTCGAAAGGATTAGGAGGTCTTAACCCAAAATAGTTGTATTTGTGTGTTGATATAAATTTTGATGTTTGGATAATGATGATTATATTGGTTCTAACCTCAAAATGAAGGTATTTATTAAAGTTCTCAAATTTGGTTAAAAGCAAGAAAATAAGAGAATTGACAATCTAGCATTTTAAATGACTAAACACTGCTATTGCTCGTGAATAGGTGTTGTTTTATGGTGGGTTTGAATAAGGATTTGGTTGGTTTTGGTTAATACTTAATAGTTAGTTTAGATTAATCTGGGCACTTAGTTTAATCTATGTTTATTATGAATTTGGAAATGTTTATGCTGTAGAAATAATATACATAAATAAATGTGATTGAAAATACATGTATGCTATTTTGTTTATAAAGATAGGATTTGGGACTATAGTTGATATTCAATTAGTTTGGTAAAATTCTGGGTTTTGCTTACTATCAGTGTTTTTGGTTTTGATACAAAAAAGGTTTAATTTAAAGGGGGTGGATTAAGATCAAGGGGGATAATTCAAAAGCCTTCACAAAATCGAGTATTAATGAGCAAGTTGCTTTATTGTTTTGAGATTGTTTTAAGTTTGCCAAATCTGAGCTTACTTATTAAGCAGTTGGATGTTAGCTTAGTATGTGTGATGTATGTCGCGGAACAAGATACTTAATGAACAAAGTGATTAAGTCAAAAAGAAGAAAACAAGTAGAAATATAGATCTAGCTTTGTAATACATGGAAAATATATAAATGAGAATACCGAGATAAATGGCAGAAGCTGAAATAGATATGAACATGATTTTAAAGAACTTACGAAGAAAGCAATCGATAAGATTTGCTGATTATTGCTACCATGGTATGATTTGACTTGTTGTAACTTGCTTGAATATTGATTGAGCTTTGATTGCTTTTAGAGGGTTTAGGTCGAGTTGTAATTTGATTGGGATTGATTGGGTTTTGGTTTCAGAACCTTACAATAAGATGGTTATAGATGATGAATGATTAAGATGATGATGGTTGGTTTTAGTTGGATACCTACCTTTACACTTGTCGTTTGATGATGATTCTGACCCTCCAAACTCGTCTCTCCTTCTTGGGTTTTTTTTTTGCTGAAGTTGGCGGCAATGGTAGGGTGTTTGGTGAGGGATCTTTTGTAACTTCGTGTCTTCTGTTTGTGTATGTTTTTAGTGGGAGAAGGAAGGTGTTTTTGTGTTCTTGTTTTGGGATTATAGTGGCCAAAGGGAAAGAAGCTAAGCTTGCTGTCTTTTGTGTTTTCAGGAAGGGAAATGAATATTGTCGAAGAGGAGGAAGGAGAGAAGCTGGGAAAGTTTTGCAGAGTGTTTTTTTTTTTTGCAGAGTTTTTGTTGTCAGTCCGAAGAATGAAAAGAGGAAGAAGAAGCTCTTGTTTTATAGGAAAAGAGTTCAGTGTTGGGCAATTTTGATTGGCTAGTAGGGATATAGGTTGGTGTTGTATTTTTGTGATTGGCTGTTGAGTGGGCTGGGCTTGGTCCGGTTTGACCAGTCTGGTTCGGCTGAGACTGGGCTTGGTTCGAGTTTGAGTCCAAGTTGACTGAAGTTTGGGCTTGGTTGACCAGCCTTGAATTAAGGTTGACCTGGACTTGGATTTTGACCTGAGTTAACCTAAGCTTGGGATTTGACTTTGTCTCTTTTATTATTTGTAATATAGGGGATGAGGTTAGTGATCAAAATATAATTATTATTTTTAATAAGATGATTTATTTTTATTGTATATTCGTTCTCTTCTTTTAGTGTCCAAAATCAAGTCCCAAATCTTACAAGACCCATAGTCTAGAAAGCCAATTTCACAATCAACTCACACGACAACCAAGCCTAGTGAGTGCTTAAATCGTCTGACTGAAGCATGCCATCACTATCAAATTGTATCGATTAAGATTTGCTATTGCTAATCTCAATAATCCAAATTTTACCAAATAAGATTTGCTATTGCTAATCTTATTCAGTTATGATAACCAATACATTTCCCAAACACTACAAATACGTTTTAGTTAGAAGGCCCTTAAAGATTTGCTATTGCAAACCTTAAATTGAAACTAATTAACATTTTATTAAAAACGTTTTAACCCGGACAAAAATGGTGTCTACAAGTAGTATGGAAGGTTTATTGTCCAAATGCATGGTATGCACATGTAGATAGCTTTTTCATATAATATAGTCATGGTAAAGCCATTGACTTCTATACAAAAATTGTCGTCGTCTTCATTTATTTTGCTTTACTTCCTTAATTATTTTTGTTATTATCATCGATTCTTTTCTAACAACTCTAACAAGCATGAGTTCCCTAGTTTTATTTTTTTGGTTAGTTTTATGTTTAATTGTTACAACATATGTATACAAAACGTGTACGTTTAAAGTATCAAAAAACCTGTAAATCATTGATGGTTAAAATGGGCTA